AACCTACTGACAATGTGAACAGCTCGACAGCGTCTTCCGTGTTTTGGAACCGGTGGTGGAAAAAATCAATGAAAGGAGCAAGGCACCTGCGTCGTTCACTTCTCGCTTCGGTATACGACCTGCGCGTTCAGAGTGGTTCCGACTGTATAGGGTACGTGATTGTCAGCGGATGACGTTGCCATATTGATTTTCTTTGGTAGGAATTCTTTCTGCCCTCGGAATCTTTCGACCTGGTCTTCCTCAAAGCAAAGATCGCGATTCTTTGCACCAAAGGCTTTGAAATCATGGATCTAACTGAGTATGTCGCCTTTACCACTTCACCTATCCATTTATCCGTTTTAATCATCATTCAAGTTTCAAGAGTGTCACTATTCCACTGCGTGACGATGGCTATGAAAGACTTGCGAAACGCGGTGAATCTTGCCGGCCAATGGGGATGTTCCGCGTGGAAAATGAATTCCTTTTGTGTTATGATGGTCAGTTGATTGGATTTGATTTTCGGTCAGCACTGATGTAAGACCCCAGAGTTCGGAATCTACGTCAACAAGCACGGCGCACCTAGTCGCAACACGGGCACCATTGAATGGGAGGGCACGGCTGAGCGCGTGGCAATCCACTGGCCCTACATACTTCTCTTCGATTCCCGCTTCATTGAAGTCAGGCACGTATCGACAGGTCTGCTCACACAGATAATTCCCGGAAATGAGATACGCTGTATTTGGGACGGTCGTGGTACCTGTGCCCCTCCGTCGGCTGGATCGGAAAACTCCCAACAGATGAACCTTGACCCCCGGATTCACTGTGTCATGGCTGCACCGGAGCCCGTTCAACATGGCCCGGTTGGGCGCCCTCGCTCAGTGGCTCAGCACGTATTTGAGCTGACACCTACGATGCCGCTCTATCCACCCGGTGCACCTGGGTCACCCAACAACTCAACGTACTTTCACCAGCAAACCGTTTCTCCCCCGCAGTCCCCCAACCTTCTCCCGATGACATCCTGGAGATGATCACATCACACAGGCACTCTTGACGCTCGTCGCGCATTTATTTTCTACAGATGTACACCCTTGTGGATTTTTTCATCTTTTTCATCTTGTTTTAGGAACTTACATAATTTGTATCAGTGCTCATTCGCTACATCATCCTGTCATTTGGGTTCCGGTAATGGATTTGGTGACCATTATGGACAATATTTCAGATGAATTGGTGAAGTGTATATAAGACATCCAGCTCTCGGAGTCTTTACTCAAAGAGACCGCCACATTACGAGTTAATCACGAGTATAATTTATTCCACTTCTATAGCACAACGTCGAACCAAACACTGCTCGCGGCTATCGACAAAAACAGAATGTGTCTTGTGCAGCCTAGTGAAATGTCTTTCTTATTATTCGAGTGAAGGACCACAACCTGGATTCTGTCAATGGAACTGCCGATTTAATAACCCAACTTATCTACGGGATTTATTTGTGAGTGTACTCCATTCTCGACTTATACCCTCAGTCCGTGGTGCCATATGACCGTGGTTTGTGTATAGGTTCACTGGCTCTGATGGTAAGATAATATTTGACGCATGGATCTGTCTTTGCTGTATCCGTAGGTCACATGCAAGGTTCGACATTACTATTTCTGGCTAGACCTGTATTCCGTGAGTTATGCATAGTACACCGGGTGAAGCTACTAATGCAAGGCCAACTACAGTTACCGACTTAAGGATCATGAACGCGTCCGTTATTTGTACTTCCCGGGTTAATTGAACGAGCGTTCAACCCATGCTTGCAGATGAATTGTCATAATGCTCTGAACACGTCCCATGCCACTCGTCGAAACCTTCCATGCCGCATGCCAAGGTTCTTACTAACGATCAAGGGTACCCTCCAGAATGATTTTAATACAGATATCGGAGACTTTAAAGCGATCACTTTACGAGAGATCACACGATCAAAGTCAACGCGGCACAGTGAGCCGCTTTGGAAGCTCTAATTCAATCAGTCTGCCATAATGGGCGGTCAAGTCACATCCCCAGGAAGTTTCTCCCCTGGGAATGGCTCCTGTAATATCTCGAGACCGCTCTACGCACAGGCTATGGTCATTCACCGGGCAATATCCAGTGAAGGTACGAACTTGACAATATAGCGCACACGATCTTCAAAGTTAAAGTCGGTTGTAACTTCGAGGGTGTTAGAGCTTACATGTTGTCGCAGCCATCTCCTTTGCGGTGAACCCATCTTCATCTGACGCAAATGGGATATAGTAGTGTTAATAAAGTTTTCGCGTGAGTGTGATTTTACTCTCCTCTTTGGAGCCAGAAATAGGTTTCCCTTCCGTTCATCCTTGCTCAATCTAGAGGCGCCTCTCTGTTTTCCATCGCTATTTGACAACCACATCTTAAAGCTACGGAATGCAGACACGTCAGTCTTTGAACCTTCTACGCATTCCAAGATCTCCTCGAGTGACATTTAAATATGTTCGGAAGCAAATTCGTTGATCAACCCAGCAATAAACTCCTAGTAACTCGCGCGTCGTGCCATCAACCATACTGCACCGATATGGAAGCCAAAAAACGACTCACCACCACACTAGGAGCATACGAAGAGCAACTGCCAAGCAGTGAGTAATGTAGTTGAATTCAGGCCGCAAACTGCTCATACTCACGCAAAGTTTGTGTGGGCATGGATGACAAGTTGAAGGAAAGAAGCACCAGGTGGGGCATTGGTCAGCGTCACTGGCGGATATCAATGTTGTTAAAGCAAAAACAACGGCGAGGACGAGATAGATGCGCATTGTTATGAGGATGTGATGGAGGATCAAATCACATATTTTGGAGGACGATATAGAAGATCCCTTGCTTTTTATGTACTGAATAATATGCCAGCTGAAAGCGGGTGGAAAGATGATGCGAATTTCTTGGCACGCTGCTTCCCAGCCTCCAGGCTATACATTTTTTCATATACCCACCTGTGAGTGTCAGACAAGCAAGCTACTGTACTTCGCACTCACTCATCTCGGTGTGAACGTAAAACCATTTTCGAGGTTATCTTCATGGCAGAGGTGAAGGCCAATGGCATCAGTTGACGAGTTTTGTACAAGGTTCGATCTGCGTCATTACCACATGGCGTTACCATTACTATGGGCGTAGCTATTTTGACGCGGCGTGACGCGCATGTGACGCGGTACTGACGAACCTTGACGCGGCTACTGACGCGCCATTCCTATATTCTATATTCAACTTCCAGATCAAGTTGGATGAGTTCACGACCATTCCTTTGTTATTTTATTTGCCTCAGAGCCATGTACAACTAGGTATACATAAGTCAATGACTATTTTCTTTTCCTCCCTCTCTGGACCCTTCGAGCCTGTGGAGCACATCGACGTTTAACGGGCGGTCATTCTTCGACCAGCAGAGAAGGAACTACAGCTTCGGATAGCTCGTCTGCAGACTCCAAAGATCAGGATAATTTTGATTCTCTGTCTCGTTGGGATAGAAAAAGTTGAATATATGTTTGATTAATTCCTAAAAGATGGGTATAACAAATTTACTCCGTATTTTAAAGCACTCACAAAGGCCATGATACGATTTACAAAAGCGCGATAATAATAGTTTCTTCTCGAGCCCAGAGGAGACAAAACGAAAGAATGCTAAGTTAGTAAAATAAATTTATTACTGCCTATGGACAATTACAGTGTACGACGTCTAATTCTGTCAGGATGAAAAGGAACACTGTGAGAATATAAATTATTATGACAGATGTAAAATAAAATATACCTAAGTTATACGGACAGTGTGATAGTTGAGGTGGTGAGGTTTGACGCGGCATGTGGAGGCGGTGAGGTCTGACGCGGCATGAATGAAGTTTGACGCGGCAGTGACGAGGTCTGACGCGGCAGTGACGAGGTCTGACGCGGCAGTGACGAGGTCTGACGCGGCAGTGCGGCAGGGCCGCGTCAATTTCACCTGGCCCCATTACTATGATCTTGACGTCCTAACATACGTACCAAGTCCAACATCCGATAATACTGTCCTCTGATACATATCCACAGCAACATGACACGAGGCAAGTAGTTTTCTTGGCGTTACATGTCCTGACGTGATGGCATACACTCATATCCATGACCCGCCGTTCAACGGTTCATGTCGAGTGCGTACAATGATACCCTGGGAACAGGCATCATGGTCCTAGGCACCTTCCGACTTGAGCGAACAGGCTGATCCATTTGGGGATCATCCGTTATTACGACTCGCGACTGGAATATGAGTTCTGCCTGTTGTGGGTCATCTCGTGCGGGGGGTAATGGAATCATGCGTTGATGATAACAGCTCAACGACTGACTGTGTTATGATAACCAAGAGATGGACTCTTCTGCATCGCCTGATCGGATGACTTAGAGCCGCATAATCACTGACCAATTGCACACACCTTATTATTAGCATTTGATGGCCGTCCCAAAGAAGATGCATGCTGAATGCGCGAGAAAGAGCGAGACGCTCCCGCCTCAAATCTCGATACTCTGACAACGTTCCATCCAGTCGGTTGTGCAGTTCTCCCTGCTCCTTGCGAAGCTTCGCAGCCTCCGCTCGGAAAGCGTCTCTCTCCCGACGAATCTCAACGAGATCGCTGAGTTATCTGCCTGAAGTTGTTGAATGACATTCCGTTGACTAGAGTGGACGCTTCGTAACTGCTCGATCAACATCATAGAGGGCTTTTCCATGGCGTTCGGAATAGAAAGGGCACAGAAGGGGCAACGTAGCACAGGCGCTGTCTTGTATGAGTGTTGGTCCCTAGATGACAATTCTGGGCTATAACGCGGACGGTTGATCCTATGTGGGATCGTGGATGTCCATGAAGGACAAGCTATGGAGTTATTGGGATCTGCGAAGGAGATGTGACGCATTTCAGTGCTACGTAATGGTGTAGAGTAAGTGTGTAGTTCGAGTCTGAGATCTGAAGTCCAATATTATCATGTTAGGATCGCGACCTGTGTAACAATAGGTCTGTATATTATATAAAGTGATCGCGACTCATGGGATCCACTATGACTTCGAGGGAAGGGATGATAGCAACGTATTCCGCTCGTTGCTCATCTGTCGTCGTCACTCCATAGCCAATATCCAGGCTCATTAGAGGACAATTCGACCGTACCAGAAATGCCTTCAACTCTTCATGAGGCCATGTTCGTATGTACCGAGCTTCAAATACGCGTAACTTGGGGAGTGATAGAGCATCGAACAAACGAGACAGATTGTTCGTGAGTCCGGAGTTGCTGTTATCAACGTGTAGAGATTGAAGTTTGGTGTGCGTGAATGGCTCTACGTCCTGTATGCCAGTGTGCATGAAAACTGCGTGAATCGTGAACGAGGAGAGGTTGGGACACAGACGGAGTAAATGAATGACTGCATTCGGTTGATCCATTGCAATTTCGACATTTGTCAGGTGCGCCCATACGGAGTCGAGATACGATAAGTAATGGAGGTTGAACACCATCCCCCTTAGCTTAAGACTGCGAAGGGATAACCGCTGTCGTGAGATGGATGGCGCAATAGCTGGAATAGCATCAAGATAGGAGATGGTGACGGCCAGCTCCTTAAGTGCTAGGAGGTCTGTCATCATAAGTTCAGGGACCTGGCGAAAAACAAGGATAGAGAGAGACGAGATTTGATTGATATAAGGTTGAAGGAGGCTTTGTATATTGGTCAAGCGACCTTGGAAACTCCTTATTGATAAAGAGAGCTGAAATCCTCGTGACCGTTCCAGCCATGAATTGTAGCAGAAAGCTATCCGCTGCCAGTCTCTGCCTTCGGCTTCTTGTAAATGCAGCCTGCACCACAATTTGGGCATATTCGTAGCAACCTCCCTCCATCGCCGACATATTTTGGTCAGTAACATGGGAGCTAGCCTGGAGGTGGGCCACATGTGATGGTGCGTCGGGAGACAGTGGACAAATATCAGGGGTAAGACCTCGTTTGGCAGGCGCCAGAGAGCCGATAAGAGTCCCTTGTGCAAGTTCATGGATTGGGTTATCTTGTGCGTCCTTTCGACGAGTTGTGTCTGAAGATCTTTTAGACGATCCATCACGGTTTCTAGGGCTGAGATCTGGTGAAAAGTTGCATCTAATTGCTGCTGGCGTTCGGTGATGAGGGCGCTGATGCTGCGGTCTTTGAGCTCGATGGTAGAATGGTCGGTATTGGGGAATTTAGAATACGGGGTATTGAGGTCTGCAGAAAGCTGGTCATCGTCAATAACATAGCATTTGATATATTTCATAGACATACGATCACTTGTGAACTTGCGAGCTGAAGCGCATGGTGTTACTTTCAGACGTAGCAATAGTTAGAATGGACACTTACGATAGTTTGCAGAGTACTGAGGATATCTGGGACAGGAGAAAGCTTGTCGAATGCCTGCATGTCGGGGGTTGGTGGAAATGTTCGACAAAGAAGGAACGAGTAGCTACTAGTATCATCAAGTACGTAAACTGCCAAGTGACCTACATAAGTGACGGCGATTAATGTGCCCGTTAACTACCGCACCCAGCTGCCATCTGTGCTGCACCCTATCCAACATTTGCGGTGTCTTATGATACAAAAAGCAAAGATCGCCATATAGTGAGGCAAGAACTTCAGAAAATTCAGACTGCATAGCATGACGTAAAGCAAGCATTACATACGACTAATTGCTAGATCCGTAATTAGGACTGACCTCTTCCCAATCCAATTACTTATGGACGACCAGAAGGTTCGCATTGTCAACCATTTGGAAACCCGGAGCACAGAGACACTCGCCGATTTGTTTCGCTTCAGTTTCACTTTCCATGAGGTTGCATCAAAACTGAGGATGACATATTGTCACCTGAACCAATGAACAAACCTGAGAGCGTGACTCTGTAAAAATTCAAGTGCGTCGTTATCAATATTCAAAAGTGTAGTGGAGGAGACATGATTAACGAAAAGTGAATCGGCCCTTAAGTGCGTACATGCTAGTACGGTCGGTAGGAATGTGGGGAGGAGACTTAGAGCCTGATTTTGTGAGTACCTTCGCACATATCAAACTAAAAACACAATACTACTGAATAAAGTGAAATAAAGGTCACAGCTCCACAAAGCTGCTATATGACTTCAGGTATTATTCACAAAAGAACACCAGTCTCGGATGACCTAGTAGTGCCGACCAAGTATGTTGAAGCCACAGGCGCGAAATAACCCTTCCACAAATTCTACAGGCGTTCGCACTGACACTCTTTGCAACAATGCAAAGTCTCTAGATGTGGATGGTCAGTGTTTCTCACAAGACCCGCTATGAAAAACTACAATAGCAAGGTATGTATGTTGTGGACCTGTGGTTTGCGAAGCGTTGCAGTTTAAATAGGGACGCGATGGTTGGCCGAACTTCACAATCATATCTGACCTCCATCTTCAACATCTCAACCTCCTTCGTGTCGATATGAAATACAACACCGATCCACCAGCCATCCCTGATATCATTAGTCGCCTTGTAAGTACCTCATTTTGAAGGTGTGGGCGTCTGAACAAACATCCACTTTAGGTGCTGGGTGTAGTCATGCGCGAGGCCTCAAACCCAAACCATGTCAACTATCGTTACTGGCAACTCGTCCAAGAGATGGCCAAGATTGTGCAGTCCATCGGTCCTCCCAGGGGATCTTCATCGCCTATCGGGCGCCTGCCCACCGAAATCCTCGCTCAAATTTTCCTCTACTGCATCCCAGAAGACGCAAACTGGACGCCCGCGCCATATCTAGCCCCCATGCAGTTGACTGCAGTATGTCGATGATGGCGGGAGATTGCTGTGAACATGCCGAGTTTATGGCGCAGGCTGCGATTGGAAATGGGGCATGGCGACTGGCAGCAGAGAGCTTTCTGCTATGACTCCTACCTCAAGCGATCACGGGGACGTCAACTGTCATTGACACTCGAGTGTAATAACAATAAATGGACAGAGCTACGAAGCCTGCTCCAGCCATACCTCGATCAAATATCCTCACTGCATGTTGGATTATCCTCTGGTACCAGCTTCTTTCCACCGGTGGCGGCGGACTTCGGCGGACTTGAGGAGCTGGTTATATACACGGATGGTTCAAATCCAGTACCAGCTGTCACGCACTCTATCATGCACTCTATCACGGATTTGCCGCCCAACATGCGCAATCTCAGGTTATTGGGCATGTGGTCTAACTTTCAGGTGTTATCTAGCCTCAATTCTCCCTCATGGGCCGGTCTCACAAATCTTGAAATCATGGTAGCGGGACTAGTTTCCTTACCCTGCTTGCTCCGTCGTTGTCCCAATCTTTTGTCGTTGACGATGATTGGATCATTCATGCCGGCGACCGAGACCTTGGGAAAATTGGCGCACACCAAACTTCAATCCTTGCGCATTTCCGGCGATCTACGTACGAACAAGGTCTTGTTCGGACTTCTTGGGCTATTCGATTATCTCATGCTCCCGAATCTACGCATCGTCGAAGTTCGCAATATAGCACGGTGGGCTCATGGAGAATTCAAGGCGTTGATAACACGGTCACAGTGTCCCCTAGAAAGCTTGATTTTCGGCGGTGGAGTGAGGACGACGCCTCAACAACTAGCAGAATATGTCACTCTTTTCCCATCCCTCAAATTAGTGATAGATCCTACGCGTTCCTCGCTTTTTCAATAGACTAGGACAGTTTATGTACATAGTTAACGAAATTATGCTCACACGATTATGCTATATGTAGCCTATACTTACTCGTTGCCAACCCTTCAATAGATTATGCTCGTTATAAATCGTGAAACGTGCAGCGAAACCAGCATGACCTATTCAGCGCCAGCAAGCAACATATAGACAGCCAACCTCAAGATGTTTATGTCGTTCACAAAGGTCTTGAGATTCCAAGTTGAAGATGATAACAGTCGAATCTCAAATCATCTTCTCTCATCGTCACCGAAGGGTGTGCAAGTTTATACGTCTCAGAGACCGCACAGGGTTAATGGCACTACTTCTTTGCCATCAGCAACCGGACGAAAAGTAGTTCTAGTAGCATAGAAGACAGGGTAAAGATGAAGCAATTACATCAATGCGCGAACTCTATATCATCATTTTATAATACAAAATGCGAAACGACCAAGGAAGGAATGAGGGCAGCATATTCAGCTCGCTGTTCGTCCGTTGTCACTATTTTAGCGCCAAAGGTCAGGCTTTCCAGAGGACAGTTTGACCGCGTCAAGAATGCTTTTGCTGCTTCGTGAGGCCATGCTTGTGAACCCGAAATAACTAACCCTAGCTCGCCTCACCATCCACAGCGCTCATTCTATCCTACACTGGCAAACTCGACCACCTTCGGTACAGTGCCTAACGGATATGCTATCGGGTGTGACGATAGTTGTGAAAAACGACAGCTATACCTCACCCGATGGACATACATTTAGACTGGCGAAGTCATACTTTGCGCACAGCCCCATTTATTATCCTTTGGGGATGCTAATCAAATGGCGGTGATGTGTAACTTGGGGGCAGTTTCACGGGTATTGTTCATGGGTGTTTTGGTGAGGGTATGGTGGCGCACGACATCTGCCGCTATGAGGTGAAAAGAAATGGAATAAGTAAGATTGAGATGTTCGAAGTGTCACGCTACCTGACGCCAAGAGCTACACATGTGCTTCAACTCCCCCTGGACCTCATACGAGTGAACTCAGGGATATGCACGTGTCACTTCGTTCTTCCACATAGTGAATGAACGGACTCGCCTAAGTTTGAATTTGAGACGCTGACTGATAGGCCTGGAGGAGCACTCATTGTCTCGAGATGCTCGAGGCGATTGATTGTCACAAACTGGTCCAGGCGAAACACGTATGAAGAGAATTCTTGACGCAGACGAAATCTATTGATATACCCAACTTTCTGCAGACCAATGTTGATCCTCTCGTCGAGCCTATTCGACATCACATCCTGCATAGTTCTCCTCCTTTGACACTTTCGGACACCCCGAACCCCCATCTTGTAACATGCCGTCATCCTAATGACCATCCAACGTGTCAAATGAGAACGATGAGCTGCTCAGCATCCAAAAAACACGTACCACATACTCGCAGGTCATCACGTCGTCCTTCTTATCCACGTAGCTGCCGGACCGTCAGTCACCCTTCTCGATGAAGATGTGAGTGTGACTTACATGCACTTCTTGAACCCGTTTTCAGAATCCTCGTAAATCCTGACTAGCTTGTAGGTCAATACACCGTCGACATATAACACTTCTTGGCACACTGCGCATTCCATGTTGGCACCAGCGAGGAGGGTGAGCAGGGCAAGAATGGTGAAGCGGGAAGTGAATATCATGGAGCTTGTTGCAGTGAGCAATGCAAGTCCATAGCGTGCATGCAGGGATTTTAAAGGCAGATGGCCTCACGATTTTCGCTTCGCCTCGGGCTGTTACATGTTACTTGCTTCGTTCCTACGAAAAAAAAGTTGAGTTGGTCGGCACAGTATGACTTAAAATACATTACATAATTATGGGCGGACCGACTAATTACTAGATCAACCTTCTCCCAATCCAATTACTTATGGACCATGGTGAACGACCAGAGGGTTCGCATTGTCAACCATTTGGAAAATCGGAGCCCAGAGACACTCGTCAATTCGCTTCGCTTTAGTTTCACTTTCCATGAGGTTGCATCAAAACTGAGGATGTCATATTAATGTCACTTGAACAAGCCTGAGAGCGTGACTCTGTTTAAATTCAGGTGCGTCATTAGCAAGATTCAATTCAAGAATGTAGTGGAGGAGACGTGATTGACGAAAAGTGAATCGGCCCTTAAGTGCGTACATACTAGTACGATCGGTAGGAATGTGGAGAGGAGACTCAGAGCCTGATATTGTGAGTACCTTCGCACCTACCAAACTAAAAACACAATACTTCTGAATAAAGGTCACAGCTCCACAAAGCTAAAACAAAACAAAATTCCCGGATGAAGTAGTGCCGACTAAGTATGTTGAAGTCACCCTTCCACAAATTCTACGGGCGTTCGCACTGACACTCTTTGCAACAATGCAAAGTCTAAATGTGGATGGTTAGTATTTTACACAAGATCCGCTATGAAAAGCTACAATAGGAAGGTATGTTTTTTGTGGACCTGTGGTTTGCGAAGCGTTGTAGTTTAAATAGGGACGCAATGGTTGGCCGAACATCAGAATCATTTTCGACCTCCATCTTCAACATCACAACCTCCTTCGTGTCAATATGCGATCATACGCCGATTTGTCAGCCATGTTGGGTACCATTAGTCGCCTTGTAAGTACTTGATTTTGAAGGTGTTGGCGTCTGAACAAACATCCACTTCAGCCGTCACATGTAGTCATGCGCGAGGCTTCAGACCCAAATCATGTCAACTATCGTTACTGGCAACTCGTCCAAGAGATGGCCAAGATTGTGCAGTCCATCGGTCCTCCCAGGGGATCTTCATCGCCTATCGGGCGCCTGCCCACCGAAATCCTCACTCAAATTTTCCTTTACTGCATCCCAGAAGACGCAAACTGGACGCCCGCGCCAGATCTAGCCCCCATGCAGTTGACTGCAGTATGTCAACGATGGCGGGAGATTGCTGTGAACATACCGAATTTATGGCGCAGGCTGCGATTGGAAATGGGGCACGGTGACTGGCAGCAGAGAGCTTTCTGCTATGACTCCTACCTCAAGCGATCACGGGGACGTCAACTGTCGTTGACACTCGAGTGTGAGAACAATAACTGGACAGAGCTACGAAGCCTGCTCCAGCCATACGTCGTCCAAATATCCTCGCTGCATGTTGGATTATTCTCCGGTGCCAGCTCCTTTCCACTGGTGCTGGCGGACTTCGGCGGACTCGAGGAGCTGGTTATATACACGGACGGTTTTGGTCCTGTACCAGCTGTACCAGCTGTCGCGCACATCGCGCACTCCATCACGCATTTGCCGCCCAACATGCGCAGTCTCAGGTTATTGGACACGAGGCTTGACTTCCAGGTGTTATCGAGCCTCGATTCTTCCTCATGGGCCGGTCTCACAAATCTTGAGATTGTGGTAGAGGGACTAGTTTCCTTACCCTGCTTGCTCCGTCTTTGTCCCAATCTTTCGTCGTTGACGATGATTGGAATATTCATGGCGGCGCTCGAGACCTCCGGAAATTTGGCGCACACCAAACTTCAGTCCTTGCGCATTTCCGGCGATTTACCTATGAACACCGTCTTTTTTGGACTTCTTGGGCTATTCGACAAAGTCACCCTCCCGAATCTACGCATCGTCGAAGTTCGCAATATAGGACGATGGGCTCACGGAGAATTCAAGGCGTTGATAACACGGTCACAGTGTCCTCTAGAAAGCTTGATCTTCAGCGGTGGAGTGAGGACGACTCCTCAGCAACTAGCAGAATATGTCACTCTTTTCCCATCCCTCAAATTAGTGATAGATCCTACGCGTTCCTCGCTTTTCCAATAGACTGGGACAGTTTATGTACATAGTTAACGAAATTATGCTCACATGATTATGCTGTATGTAGCCTATACTTACTCATTGCCAACCCTTCAATAGATTATGCTCGTTATGAATTGTGAAATGAAACCAGCATGACTTATTCAGCGCCAGCATAGAAAGCCAACCTCAAGATGTTTATGTCGTTCACAAAGGTCTCGAGATTTCAAGTTAAAGATGATAACAAACGAATCTCAAATCATATTCTCTCGTCGTCACCGAAGGTGCTTATACGTCTCAGAGACCGCAAAGGGTTGATGGCACTACTTCTTTGCCGTCAGCAACCGGAGGAAAACTAGTTCTAGTAGCATAGAAGACAGGGTAAAGATGAAGCAATTACATCAATGCGCGAACTCTATATCATCATTTTATAATACAAAATGCGAAACGACCAAGGAAGGAATGAGGGCAGCATATTCAGCTCGCTGTTCGTCCGTTGTCACTATTTTAGCGCCAAAGGTCAGGCTTTCCAGAGGACAGTTTGACCGCGTTAAGAATGCTTTTGCTTCTTCGTGAGGCCATGGTTGTGAACCCGAAACTTCAAGCGCGCGTAAATTGGGGAGTGATAGAATATTGAATAGGCCAGGTAGCAGGGAGGCTGCGCTCATGTTGGTTTCGAGGATGCGTAAGGATTGAAGTGCGGTGTGCGTCAACACTTGGGCCGAGTCGACAGGTGGTATTCGCTCGCTTGTATATTGGCGAATCACTAACGAGGAGAGGTTGGAAGATGGACGGATTAAGCGAAGGACCACACTCAGGGAACATAATGAGACTTCGATATGCGTCAGGTGAGTCAATGCGGGGATTGGAGGTAAATTCCTGTCGAGGGAGAATGACCCTTTTACCTTGAGACTAAGCACAGTCAACGGAACAATGAGGAGACATGTTGCAACAGTTGACGAAGTACGACTGGTTGTGTTGTTCAAAGTCAGCTCCTGAAGTGCCTGGAATTCTCCCAACACCTTGCGGGTTCCGCGGAAACAAGGGGTAGAGATGGACGCGATATGATGGCTGTAGTAGGGCCGAAGAAATTTTCTCAACTTGAGCATCTGGTGTGCATAGCAATCGATTACCAACGAGAGCGGACGCCCTTTTGATCGCTCCAGGCATGAGTGGTACAGGTTATCTTGTTGCTGCAAATCTGTCTTGTTCTTGAGATTCAAGTGCAGCTTGTACCATAGATCGGACGTGGCCACAGCCACCCCCCTCCATTTTTTGCATACTCTGGTCAATAGCATGGGAGCTTCGTTTTGTGCAAGCGACAGATGTTCGTCCTCCGGAAGGCAATGAACAAAAATTTTGGACAGGATCTCATTTGGCAGACTCCAGAGGGGTGATACGAATCCCTTGTGCAATTCCATGGACTGTTTAATCTTGTCCTTCTTTTCGACGAGCTGTTCATGAAGGTTGTTAAAAATATCCACCATTGTTTTTAGGCCTGATATCTCTTGCGACACCGCATGTAACTGCTGCTCGCGTTCGGCGATAATAGCACGAATGCTCTGGTGGGCTCCGAATTCGAAGGCCCATTGGTTGTCGGTGGAACCGGAATACTCAGTTTCAAGGTCTGGTATCTGGTCATAATCAATCAACAACATTTCCGACATATCATGCAGAATTGACGCACAATCACTTGTGAACGGTCGGTAGTGAGTATGCGTCGCTGTTTTTCATTACATTCAAACCCGATTGCCTATAAAACTGGCACTTACAATATCATGTATAATGTTCCGCAGTTCATCATTGATATCTGCAGGCAACGAAGAGACATTGACTTCTGAGTTGTCGACTGTCTGCATGCTGTTGACAGTGTGATACGAGGCAGGTTGTAATGTTCGAGGAAGATGAAAATATATCATTCAACGATAACTTCACTGTTTATAAACGTCTGGCTAGGTGACAACACCTACCGCCACAGTAGTGCCTGTGAAAGGGGGCAAGCACAATATTTCGCTCCAGTGAAAGGCATGGAGCCACTTTACACAATCACACTCGTTGAAATCACTACGTACCTTGCATGCTGGATCAAAGGCTAACCAAGAGGCTTCCCTTTGTCCGCTGTCCGAGTCATGTCGCCACCGCATCATCGGCAGCAACGCCTTTATTCTCTCACCTACTAGGACACACATTAGGTGCATAGTAATCACTGGAATTACAGGAACAACAAGACAATATTGTCTATGTGAACAATGTACGAGTTGGTGCTGATAGGGAACGGATGGTGACTCGGGATCACTGGTTGGCTACCCAAATAAGGCCGGTCCTGTCATAGACACGTTCATTTATTTGAAGCCGCTAAAAGAGATAGCTTACATTGTTACAAGGTGGTAGTTGCGTAAAGTGATTATAAGTCACTGTGGCCCAATATCATCACACGTAGTAATCGCGACCATAACACATGGGATCCACGAATACTTCGAGGGAAGGAATATAGGCAATGCATATTGCTCGTTGTTCATCTGTCGTCATTACTCCAGCGCCAAAAACTAAGTCTCCAGGGGACAATGTAACCATGCCAAGAATGCTGTCGATTCCACATGAGGCCATACATAGCGAGCTTCGAGCTGAAGTAAATTGGGGGATGACAGAGTCGAACAGGGTGTATTTTTGCAATGGTTGTATATAGCGAGCTTCAAGCAAACATAGAATGAGAAGTGATAGAGCGACAAACAGGCCAGCTAGATATTTATTGTGTTGCCGACGTAATGAGCGACGCGCGAGGATTGACGTTTGGCGTGCGTGATGGGCTCGATCATGATGGTTCGTAGGAGCTGCTTGGAACCTGCCAATGTTTTTACGCTCAGACACAAGTGCCCATGAAACTAAGGTCCTACCATGTTCTGCAGTACACTAATCGTGTCAGAGAATGAGGAGAAATTGACTTTGGGTCAAATTTCTGGCTCTGCATGTTGTGTGTTGCACGGGTCGAAACGTTCGAAGATTCGGGAAGATAGCGTGGTTTGAAGCTGATAATCTCTTCTGTCACAAAGTGTCTACAATCTGATCATCAAATGCTTGCACATCTCATACCAACCTCAATGTTGATCTCACAACGACACCTGCTGACTTTGCAAAGCGACGACTCGGAGGCAGCGAATACTTGTAGACCGTAGCACGCACCCGCGGGATCTGGATGGTCATAAGTAAGTTGCGTGTCCTATTGCTGTAGGCAAAAAGAGGTGCGAGAAGGACTTGCATTCGGGACAGGAAAAGTTAAAATATACAAATCCCAACAAATCCTCACGCTTGCGCTGTTACCCGATAGTCACGGCCTGGTAAGGTGTGCAGTGACCCACCAAAATTAACGCTAACTTTGAACCTGTATATAGTGCAAATAACCTACTAGTAGCGGCATATAGCGTTACATAAAATCGACTGCCCTCTTACGAGCACGAGGAGGTCCGCTTCCCTGTCCACTAACCTGACTTTCCTCATCAAGGGACAGATTGACGGGCAAGGCCTTCACGATATCTGGCAGAGGCTTTTCAACCCACATATCCTCACCCCCATCCCCCTCTCGATCCTTCCGTTTCTTCTTCCTCGGCCTCTCACTATCCCGATCTCGGTGTTTTTGACGCGCAGCTGTGAGCGAGGAGTCCCCGCCATCCTCGTCTACATCAAAGGAAACAAGAATGCCACCCTTGGAGCTCTTCTGTTTTTTGTTTTTCCTTTCCTTCTTCTCCGTTTCTTTCGGTTTGGATCCCCGGGGTATGAAGGTAGGCTTGAACGTAGCCAGATCAACATCTTCCACGATACCATTCGATGGCGGTGGCTTGACATCTGGGTCTGGGGCTGGATTAGATGGCCCAGCTGGCGCAGAAACGGCAGGGGGCTCGTCCACCTCATCGACATCGTCTATGCGATCCTTCTCCTCGTCACTCTCCTCATCATCACTCGCAAAAATTGCTTTAAAAATATCCATCCCGGGACGTTCATACGTGAGCACATCATCCCCCTGCCCATCATCTTCCCCCATGCCAATATTCGCAACATCGCGCTTGCTACTCCCAGAACCCCTACCCTCTGCTTGCGTCACTCCCGCACTTGCATCCGCGAATTCGTCTGCTGGCGCCGCGCCCGTGAACTCAGGCGCCGCAGTCTGTGCTGACGGCACAGAGGTATCGTCAGGGACATCCAGATCCGGTTCCTTGACGCCAAAGCGCTTGCACAGCAGCCGCGCAGGCTGCCAGGTACACACCTCGCGTGTCATAACACCATACATCCCCAGTCGAGCAGCATGCACCTTCGGAGCTTCTTCCTTGACTTCTTCCTTCAGCTTCTCCTCCGCCACATCCATACTGTCCGCCCCCTCTTCTGGTTGTGCAGCAGGCGTGTGCAGGCCCTCGATGATCTTTGGTCCGAGATCCAGAACAGCAGCACTTGTAAACCGCCCAGCCATGGCTCCAGAGACGGGGCGGAATAGCGCAGCTGACTTTGCATAATCGTTTATCTCTTTTGCAAACTCTTCGGCTGACTGCCCGGGCTTCTGTGCGGGTGGAATTGTGCCTGAGCCAGGATTTGCGTGTGCATGGAGATAGGCGGTGTACCTTGCCTGCTTAGTGGGATCGGTCGTGAAGGGCTGAAAACCGTGGAGAGCAGCTTGGGCGACGTGGGGCTCGGTATGTGTGATCGTGGGAGGCGTGGGGAGTGAGGGACCTGGCGAGGGATCATCCGATGTTGAAGGGGGGGCGAAGCGGCTTGCAGCAATGTTCTTAATGCGTTCTTGGTCTTTCTTGGAGATGTACTCGAAGATGGACCTGGGTGCAGAAGGGAGGGGTGTCTCCCCAAGTGCTGCTCCCCGCTGTCCATAGCATGTAAGTACGTGAGTTCTGCAGGAGATGAATTTTGTCAAACCTGGTTCGCAGAGATGCCCTTTTTCCACTGGGCGTGTGACTGAGTTTGCGATGGAGGAGGTATAGATGCGTTCTCTTTATCTTTTGAATTGGCTTTCTCCATCTCCCAGACGCGTTTGGGGTTTGGCGTCCAATCTTTTGGCACGTCCGGTATTGGGAAGCTGGTAATTGTGAATATCCAACCATAAGCAACATACACGTAAAAATGCTACTGACCAAAGGTCCTCCGCCACAGGTTTCTCAGATATGATGAACCCGTTCAAAGGCTGTTTCCCATCACGAAACACTACTTTCCCGGTAGAAGGTCTCTAGAATTCATAAGTTGAACCGTAATATCTCAGTTCCCTCGGATGGTGACCTACTTGGGGTTGTGCTGCCTTTCCCAAATCCCGTGCGCCTTGCGATCGCGAACTCATAAGAACATGCTCCTCATCGTGCACATCATTCGCGTCGTATGCATGATGATTCCTACCACGAATCTGGGAGTGATCATAAACATCTAAGTCATCGTCGTCTGCATCATTCAGCGCGCCGAGGCCAAAACCACCTGTCGCCACGGGTCAGAGTCAGAAAATCGCACATAGCAATAGCAGCAGACATAATACGCGCCGGCTAAGCGTGGGCCATTGGACTGTTTGGAAGCCTCGGGCGCAACGCCAAGACTCGCATGCAACCCTAGGCCAGGGTCATAGCCCAAACCATGAAAGTTCTCCTTCCTCTCAACGATGATCAGAGGCGTGTCTCGAGGGGCGTATAAGTGTTTCTTCGCTTCCTCGTCTATGTCGTCGGAAGGAACGTCTGGGTTACGGCCGAATGCTATTTCACGCTGACGCCATGTTATCCGTGGGCCAACACCCTGGCCAATGCGCCAGCCCATCTTTTTCAGAATTCGAGCGCCTACAGAGTCCTTTGGTGCTGGGAGGAGAGACTGCTCAAGTGCGAGTGTGATTGCGCTTGGTGAGGTGGGTCTGGTAAGCTATGCATCACATGGCGCGATATAATGATACGCACTCTTTGTCGTCGGCACCCAAACCACGTTTGCTCATCTCGTCTTGTGTGCCCCCCAGTAAATCCATCTGCTCATGCTCATCGACAAGCTTTTGGTCATCACGCATTCCCGTGAGATCTTCTTCGTCCATGAAGTCTTCTGGGCGGGAAGGGCGGTTCTTGTTCGTGGCCCTGTCGGACCGAGAGGATATGAATGTTGACGGTGTCCATCCTGGAATAGAATGCTAGATGAAATGGGGCGTATTATTTTCTCTCAGGGGACGTACCTTCTTTAGAGCCCACTGTATTAAAGTACCCAGCAGAGAAACCGCCGGTAAAGGCACCATGCAACCTTCTCCGGCCCTTCTCATCCCTCACCTGGAAGATATCTCGAGTTTGGAACAAGACCACGCCTAAAAGACCTCACCTCTTGCTTCCATAATGGTACGAACTCGCCTGTGTCTTTTGACTTTTCGAGCGGGGGCAGCGGGGTGCCGATCTGTGGTGGTCACGGAGAGTTGGCAAGCTGTGAGGATGAGAGAAAGTTTACGCACAAGGCAGAAGTTCTCGTTTGCCTTTCTGCTGGACGTATCAATTCCTAGGTCACCGAGCTTGCGCTTCAGCCTCGCTGTGCTCATCGTGGATTCGTGGTCGCTATTGGATCATCTACCGTCCAGAATAGTAACCCTAATGACTTTCCTTTGCTAATGTCGGAGTTGCTATTGAAGATTCTCTCAGAACCCAGAACCGCCAATTACATAACACCTTCGAATTCAACAGACTTGAGGACATTATGATTGTTCTGCACATATCTATACCTCTTCCATGTCTTGCATATTGTCGAGGCTGCAATATCACCACGTTTAGTCGCCCCCACACCATAAGATTTGGATGCTAGGCAGAGAATTCGGAAGGGGACGTGTTGCTATCAGATGGCCTTGTCAACTTCCACTTCCCTCCCTGCCAAAATAAGGCGTCTGGGTATGACATTACACATGCATGTACAGCTCAGCCATAATCCCATGTGTTAGGCATACCGCAAACATGATATTTTCAAGTTAATGTGTAGTTCTGCGACACGTACGTTGCTTCATTTTGGCTTGGAACTGACGGTATTCATTATATGAACAGTTTATGGAAGTCCCGATCATTCAGAATACATGAAATGGTTCCAGACGTGTCCGCGTAATAAACACGACTGACGGTTCCCATTGCTAAAGCCTGTCGATTTCAATTCAGACTGGTTTAGCATGCGCGCTTCCTGCGTGGTGGATGACGTTGGGTGTTTCACATACATCCTTTTCCTGCAGGGTATAAAGTCTCGATGTTTTCAAAATATTTAGGTTTTCCATCTCATTCTCCTACCCCACAGATCCTGGTGATTTGTTGCACGACAGGCTTGCGACAGGCATCGTATTCCTCAGATTTATCTATCATTCTTGTTTCTCTTAACTCTGCGCCGGACCGCATCCTCTCCTTGTACAATTTTTGTCATGCGCGTTACATCTCAGTTTGTTGCTTTCACAAGCATCTGTACGATCATCGCTATCGCGCTTCCACCCCCTGCCGACGCTGCATATATTGCAAGCCATCCCAGTGGCAACCGAGTTGCTACTGCTTATGAGGCTGATAAACCCCGCCCTATCTTTTCACTTCCGAGGCTGACTACCGGACATATTCCCCACAAGCTCTCTGAGGACAGAGGAAAGTCGATCATCGATACTCCTAGCTCGGTAAGTTAGCTTGTCTTTGACTGACGTCTTCTGATACCTACCCATATTGCAGAGGTTCTTCAGGTTTTCCGATTCCGACCCATCGAACCCGCTGGCGGGAATCCTGAATGTTGGCCTTGCTCATGTTCACGGTGATGATGATCATCCACCTTTCTCGCTGCGCGATGCACCCTCACGTCGTCCTACTCCTCTTTCTCGCCGCTCGTCTGCTCTCGTCCATGGTGCAGGTGGAAATAACTATCTAGTCTCCAGGGGAGCAGCCTCCACGTGCCCTTCAAAACGAAGGCTGGGCCGTCGCGATACCTCCTGTCTTGTTTCCGGAGTCATTGATATTGTGGTATGGAGCTTTTCTCCCCCCACTTCTGTGTTCTTATAATCACACTTCCAGAGCGGAGATCAAGGCCGGCACCTCGCATCCCTTGCCCTCGATTCTTCGACGTATAACTCCACCAATACTACATCGACCAACTCGACCAGCAGTCACGCTAGTAATGGTTCCTTCCCTCTCAATGCGTCGAGCACCAACGGGACGCAGTTCTACTTGGTCGATGCTAATGACAGCTCATTTAACAACCCTGGTATTTATTCTGCTGGTGTATTTTATTGCCGAACTCAAATATCTTCATAGCAAACGCGACGAAGCACGTCATGGTTCAAACCGATATCCTCAACTCCCTCTACTGCGCGACTTTTGACCCGAATCCACCTGGGCCTGAACCAATGACAATGGAAATGTGCCGTCCGTCGCAACCCGAAAATGACGTCAGAAACCTGGATTACTCGTATGCCAACGGCGTGGCGCCTATCGTCGACTACACTATATTGGCCGCGGATCCACACAAGAGTCAGATCTTCGAGTACGATCCGTCTACTGGTGTCATCAAGCCGTTATGGACGAACAGCGACGGCACCACTTCCTCGCATGCGATGTTTGTTGAGCGGGACACTATGGCTTCTTCCACCACTGGCTCCAACACGATGACATCTGCCGGGTCTAGTACCACCAGCTCCACGTCCGCGCCTCAGTCCACCACTTCCTCGTCTACACCGGAAGCACAGAATGTCACCCTTGTGTTCCGACCTTCTAATCTTGTGGTCTCTGCTCCTCCACCTTCTACCGATGCTGCTGACTCGAGCGTGGACGATGTGGTAACGACGACGATTACCACAACGGTTGTCTACACCGCTACCGCAACCCCGTCTTCATATTCATCATCCGCTGCTGGAAGCCCTATGGCCGCTATTGCTGCGCTTACCATGACATCTTCATCATGTTCGTCAATGTCAGTAGCATGCAGTTCCACATCGACTTTGACACCCTCTCCTGCTGTCCACGCTGCAGCAGCGGCTTTAAGTACGGGATCGTCTTCTTTGCAACCAACTTCTACGGGCTCCGCTGCCATCCAAGCTGCATCGTCATCGTCACCGATACCGCCCTCTCCCTCTGTCCATGCTGCCATTATCGCCTCAAGTCCAGGGTCATCATCTTCTCAGGCAACCTCCACGGACTCGGCGACTAGCACCCAAGCTACACCACCACCATCGATACTGCCCTCTCCATCTGTTCACGCTGACATTGTCGCTTCAAGCCCGGGGCTGTCGCCGTCTCAGTCAACCCCCACGGGCCCGTTGAGTACCATCCAAGTGGCATCATCATCGATGGCCCCCTCTCCATCTGTCCACGCTGCTATCGTTGCTTCAATCCCAGTGTCGTCATCTTCTCAAGCGACCTCCATGGGCTCGGCGACTACCAGTCAAGTGACATCGACTTCGCAGCCCGTGAGGGGCTCACTAGAAATCGAGTTTGTCCCGATTGCAGATTCACCGTCTTCTGCGTCCATCACTTCATCTTCCCCGCCGTCATCTTCACCCACCTCTTCCATTTCTCCCTCCTCGTCATCTGCAACACCCAGCCAGATGAACGCAGCTGCAATCGCTTCAGCAATCGCCAATTCCCATTCTAGCGTTTCAACTACGAGCACTCCTAACACAAGCAGTTCTTCTGTTAGTACAACAGTTGCGCCGGCAACCACAAAATAGGTGGGTACCTTATATGGGGAGCTCACTTAGAAAACAATATCTAGACTGTAGTGGTATCAATGCAATGTATAGATTGCCGTATGAATTACATTGTCGCTATTCAAGAGTACTTGTATTTGTCTCTCGTCGTGCGCAATCTAACGCTGTAATTGGGTGAGCTAGCACGATGTACGCCCTAGACGTCAGTAGTAAGTACACGTACGAGGAATAATGGAACTGTTTGTGCGAAGCCTTGTTCATCTGCTCTAACCGCAACTCGATCAGAAAGGCCTCTCGTAACGCACAAGCATGTAAAATCCATAGACGACAAACACCTGACTGTAGTACGTGTTATCCCAATCTGTGCCTGAAAACTACTGAATATATTATTCTACTGTTACATTCGACTTCCAGATCAAGTTGGATGAGTTCACGACCATTCCTTTGTCATTTTATTTGCCATACGGCCATGTACAACCAGGTATACATAAGCCAATGACTATTTTCTTTTCCTCCCTTTCTGGACCCTTCGAGCCTGTGGAGCACATCGACGTTTAACGGGCGGACATTCTTCGGCCGGCAAAGAAGGAACCTTCGGATAGCTCGTCTGCAGACTCCAAAGATGTAGCATCAGAGTTATCACTGAATAAGGGGCCGTGCTGTCAATCACATAAATTAGATATCTATTGAGTGGAGCAGGTAATGTCTTCCTCACTTCAAGTTCATTCTCGCTATAATCTAAACCCATTCTGCAGGAATTCCGAGATACACATTCCATCGCCTGTGATGTTGGCCAGCATCCAAACCACGCTGCTGGTTGCCTGCAGGTCCTGCTTCTTCGGAATCCTCGAATATCTTTGCTTCTAGTGCGGTCAGACACTCGAGGTCGATGTCAGCCACGAAGCTGTTGGTAGGATAGCTTATCATGAGTTATAACAAGTCTACTCCATATTTTCAAAGCACTCATAAAGGCCACGATACGATTTACAAAAGCGTGATAAGAAGGGTTTGATCTCTAGGCCAGAGGAGACAAAACGAAAGAATGCCCAGTGAATTTGTTACATTGCCGCGTCAATTTCACCTGGCCCTGGCGAAGGACAAATATGGTATAAAGGGGTCTCGACATGGCAAATCATCGATCCACTTGTGCACGTGTGAAAGGCGAGCTTCAACAAATCCGGGTCAGTTACTTTGCTTTTATGATTTGCTTATGATGAGGATCCTGCCAGATTGGCTGTTGAATCGTACATCTTGGACCTTCATTCCAGTGTCTAGCTCAGTTCTAACACAACTCAGAGGACGACGGCCGGCACAGTGGTATCCTTTTGTCACGGTGCGGCTTAGAGTTCAACACCATGTGTTTGATTTTGAAATGCACAACTATGCCGCAACTCACTAAACGATAGACCAAGCAACATCCTGGGACCCCATGCCTATCGGGGCTTCCTTCATCCTAAACAATGCGAGTCTAGTGCTTTTTCGACCTGCAAGGAAAACGGCTCCAAGCTGTAATGCAGCATGCAAGGCAAGTACTCTTTCCACGGAGGGCTAGATCTCCCGAGATGTCTTCTGCATTGGCCACCACCCGCGGCGGTTGACAATATTCGTATTTCAACTGTGATCGACACGTGGACTCACTAGTATTCCATTGGCAATGCAGTCGTCATATGCATCTTCGCCACTTAGGATGCATTCAATGTTGTGTGTTATTGGATTCTGAATCGTTTATCCGATGACCTTGGAGCACTATGAGGTCACGAATTGCCTCACATCGCGACGCCCTGTCATTCGCCAGGCATCACTGTTTTGCCAATTTGATCTAAGGACTGCCAGTGTCACGTTCCTAGTATGCGTAGGATATAAAAGCCAGCCTGCATTCACCATGTCTACTTACCTCAAAGTCATCATTCGAGATCACATCGCGTATCAGAAATGCATTTCTCCATCCTCGTCGTCATTGTTGCTTTCGCAGTATCTTTGCCTGCCAGTGCTAGTTCATGCAGCAACCTAAACCAGTCTTGCAAATACACCACGGATTGCTGCGGTAACTTTTTTACTTGTAGGAAGGTGAGTATGGATCGTTTGTTTCATTCGGCATCATGGCTCACCCTTTGTAATACTCATAGGGAACCTGTCAGTACACCTCTGAAGAGTAGTTGCAGCCAGAGTTACTGACACGTCGCAACAGTGAGTCATATCCCTGTCTTCTAATTCATGATGCCATGACTGACGGCACAATATATAGTTTGTTGTTGGGTCGGTGAAGGTTCTGTACAGGGCTAAACAATGAACTTTGTATAAGGGAAAATATTCACTGTTTTACCAAGGAATGACTCGCAACTGGGAAAGCGAAGCTGTGAGACAGTTATCTTCCTTCATGTCAGACCAGACGCCTTTGTCAAGCTGCACCATCCTGGTATTTTACTCCGAAGTCGAGCTACACAGTAAGGTACGAGCAACGAATGCGCAATAAAGAAACACGTAGTACTCCACGTACCAGTCGCTCCTGAGCCTGAAACGAGTCAGTGCAGTACGATAAACTCACGATAAGCATGGGACAGACTAACAGAAATCTCTTGCCTGGTCGATGAGGCACTGGCCATCAGCGTTGACGGGGCTCACGCTCCAAATCTGGTCCGTGCGCATGGCAGGGTGGTCGATATTATTGCAGTTCTGTGTTTCAATGTCTGGCGTCTAGTTACCGTCAATACTACGCTATCAGATATATCAAAATAGACATACGATTGGCTGTGACTGCATCGGAAGCGATCGATGATTAGTTAACGAGACACGGTTACCTACAACTAGACACTCACGATATTTTGTTGGTTCGCCGGCGCTTTCTGACCCAATTTAGTGTGACGAGCGATGTGGCAAAGAAGTGACGCTATGGATGAATGGTTAACCATTGTTGAATCAACTTGCACTGGTGACGGGCGCTCGAATGGGTTTAGGGCAAGCGGGGCCCTCCAGCTCAATGCTCGGAGGGTCCGCGATCAATTTAAGCACCGAGATGTGACAGCTCGTAAGAAGGAGAAAGTACAACATATCGTACAAAATCGTAGCTATCACTCGAGGGAAAGGCTAATATACAAGCCACTGGAGTGACTTTGACTGAAAGGTCGAGTTTTGACCGACCAAGCGCTACTCAAATAAAGGGAGGGATTGTGGTGGGTAGCTTAAATTATGGCGCAGAGTGTGCGCGAGCAGATGGTGCTCAACGTTGGATGACCGCGAAGACGAAAGATTAGCCCATCTTGAAGTCTGTGCTATTGAGAGTATAGCAGGGCGTTCACGCGAGGCTAGACAGGTAAGATCTCAGTATTCGGATTACGAATCTCTTTATTGACAAGTGTTTTTACCTAGACAGGTAAGCTACGGTATACGTTAGTACTTGTACTCAAACGTTACATTTTAGAAGACTTACATCTCAGTATTCGGATTACGAATCTGAGATGTTTCGATGGTGGATGGCTGCTTTTATATGGTGAGTGCGCCAGCTGGCCTTTTGATGAAAACATATACTAAAGGAATGAAAAAAGATAGCCGACGTTGACACGTCGTCTGGAATCTCCGTTTGGTGGCGCTCGCACCTCGAGCTGCCTTACTCTTCGGCCGTAGTCCCATATCCTCCTCTATCGGCCTTTCCGTCCTCGGGTTCTTCGGCTCTCAACACTCCCCCTCGAGCGCTATCCAAACGCATCATTCCCCTCAACCTCTGCAGTCTGGGACGTGGTAGTGCCTTGGTAAAGGCATCGGCGACGTTGTCGTCTGTGGGACAATAGAGAAGCTTGAAGACACCGCTCTTGATGTGCCCTCGGACAAAATGATATCGTAAGTCAATGTGCTTCGTCCTTGATTGGAACTTCCCGTTCGATGCTAACGCAATGGCTGCTTGATTATCGCAGTGTATGGGGATCGGCAGGTTCGGGGCGTCGTAGAGTTCGGCGATGAGGAGCTGCAGGAAGAGGAGTTCGCGCACCACACTGGTAAGTGCGATATATTCAGCTTCTGCCGTCGACAATGCTATTAACGGCTGCTTCCTCGCACTCCAGGCTATGGGTGCGCCGTTGAACATGACGACGTATCCCGACATCGAATGTCGGTGGGGCTGGGACGCCCAATCTGCATCGACGAAGGCTTCCAGGCCAGCGTCTGTGACTCCCAAAGTAAGTTCCATGTCATCTGTTGCCTTCAAATAACGTAGGGCCCGCTTTGCAGCTTCCCAATGGGCCCTACCGGGATTCCTCATGAACTGGGATAGCGTCGCGACCGTGAACGCAATGTCCGGCCGCGTGCTGGTGGCCGCGTACATCAGCGAGCCAATGGCTCTTTGATATGGTACGTCCCGCATGTCTTGAATTTCGGCGTGGGTAGCGGGTCCTTGCTCTACTGACAGGGTCGTTGTAGACTCCATTGGAGTCTGCACATTCTTGGCGTTGCCCAAGCGAAAACGTTCGACGATGGTCGCGACGTACGCCCTTTGCGATAGCGTGATGGTACGTGCCCTCCTATCCCTCGTCACCTTCAGTCCTAACAGCCATTTTAGTTCTCCCAGATCACTTATCTCGAAGTGTCGCTGGAGCTGGGACTTGAAGCGCTGGATGTGGGCGACGTCGTTCGCCGTTACGGCCATGTCGTCCACGGACACCGTGATGACCATGTGCTCGTTGGAGGTACGTTTATAGTACACCGCCTGATCTACCTTGGACCTGCTGAAGCCCAGCGCTAGGAACACGCCCGATAGCTCTTCGGCCCACTCGAATCCTGCCTGTTTCAGGCCAGGCAAACTCCTCCTCAGCCGCAACACCTTTCCACGCTGGTCCTCCTTCAAGTAGCCGGGCGGGGTGCGCATGTATATCTCTTCCTGGATGCTGGCGTACAGGTAAGCGCTTTTTATATCTACCTGGTGTATTTCCCAGTTTCGCTGAGCCGCCATCGCTAGGACCATCCGGATCGTTATCATGCTGGCTGTGGGGGCGAAAGTGTCGAAGTAGTCGACCCCAAACTTCTGCCTCTGCCCGTTCGCCACGAGTCGGGCACGCAGCTTCAGCTTTTCGCCGTCCGGTCCGCGTTTAGTGGCCAGGACGTAATGGCACGGTATGATGTTGGCGCCTCGAGGTGGGTCCACTACCTCCCACGTACCTAGCTTCTCCAACTGACTTATCTCATAGTCCACCGCCTCCTGCCATTCAACGCCGTCTGGACCGTTTAGGGCCTGCTGTAGGGTGGGTTCTGGCTCTGCTGTGGCCAAAGCAAGGTGAAGATAATTTTCTTCATCCATTAGGTCCACCTCTGACGCCTCCAACAGATTCTCCATTGTTAGGGCAGCTGTCTGGCCCTCGTTTAGGGTCGCATAGTAGCCGGGGGGTGGTCTTGCCCTTGTGGACCTCGTTGGAGGAGTAGATGGTTGAGGTTGTTGAGGAGTAGATGGTTGAGGTTGCTGGGCGGTAGATGGTTGAGGTTGCTGAGGAGTAGATGGTTGAGGTTGCTGTGGCATGGTGGTGGGCTGGACGCTATTAGGTGAGTTATTATTACCGTTGCCGCTGTTATGTTCGTTAACAGTAGTAGACTCCCCCTCGTCCGGCACACCATCGGCTGCCAGGATCGGCTTGAAGGTGACATTCCTTTCAACCGTGACTCGACGTTTCCCGGGCCAGTAAACCCGGTATCCCTTACTCTCAGCGTCTACCCCCACGAAGACTGCCTCTTCTGCCCTCGCCTCCAGCTTACCGGCCTCCAGCGCATGGACGAAGACCGGTGCCCCAAATTCATGGGCACGCGACAAGTCCAGCTTGGACTTGCGCACCATCTCATAGGGTGTGCTACCTGGGATGGCTCTGGACGGTAGGCGGTTCTTGAGCCATGTGGCATAACTAACTGCCTCTGCCCACAGGTATTTCGGCATATCCTTGCCCAGGAGCATCGCTCTTGCGTGCTCGACCAGGGTGCGGTTAAGTCGTTCGGCGACACCATTCTGTTGGGGTGAGTCGTGTACTGTTAGCTGCCGTTCGATGCCTTGCTGATGCAAGTATCGGTCGAACTCGGCGCTTAGATACTCCCCTCCTCTGTCTGAACGGACTTTGCGCACGCGGACACCCGGCGACTGATGCGTCACCCACGCCTCGTATGACTTGAACGTGGTAAGTGCGTCACTCTTTTGTTTGAGGAAGTCGAGTCGAGTCTGCCGGCTGAAGTCATCCGTGAAACTGATATAATATTTGCAGCCTCCCAAGCTCGTCGTCTGCGCCGGCCCCCAGAGGTCGGTATGGACTATCTCCCCATAGGTAAGTGCACGTGACTTCGTCTCTTTTGGGAAAGACTGTTGCGCTGACTTAGCTCTCACGCAGATGTCACAGAATTCGGCTTTCGTCGCCAGGTCAAACTCGACTCCCACCACCAAGCCTTTCTTCACGGCTTCAGCAAGGGCGTTCTGGCCGACGTGTCCCAGCCTACGATGTAGCTGGCCTAGGGTAAGCTTTTCTTTGGCCACATTGGCGTGGTGACCCTGACTCCCCTTCGTCCCAACAGAGTACAGCCCTTCTACCTGTGGGATCTCCGCGATAACGTCCCTTCAGGGACCTCGTGAGAGAATCTTGCACATGCGTCCTTCAAAAAGGACTGCTAGACCGGCGGATGCGATACGATTTGTGGATATGAGGGTGAACGCCATACCGGGGGCATATAGGGTGTCCTTCAAGGTCACAGTGGTCCTTTTGGAGCCCAAAGGTAAGTCGATTCTCACATCTCCACGACCTGTGGCGCTAACGTTGGAACCGTTTGCAGTATAGACCTTTTGGGGGGGTATTTCGACGAAAGTCTCGAATTTGGACCTGTCCGGACAGAAGTGGGATGTCGCGCCGGAGTCGACTATAGCTCCACGGCGCGCAGCAGGTAAGTGCATAGCTTCTGCTACGCTCGCAAGGTCTGATGTTGCGAAAGCGTAATTGTCTTGGGCTTCGGGCTCTTTGGCCGCAGCCGCGTTAGCACTCTGCTTTTGGGTGCGTCCTCCCCTTCTAGCCTTCTGCTTGGGACCTTGACCCTCCTTCCCTCCCCCTTTCCTCCAGCACTCACTCTTGTAGTGCCCCTTTCGGTCACAGTTCTGACAGAGCGCATCTGGGTTGTAGTGGGGCGCAGCGCCATCTGCGATTTTGGACTTCGCGTCGTTGGCGCGCGCGGAGAGGGCAGAGTTAGTGCCACGTTTAGACGGGCGTCTGTCGGTAAGCAAACGATGCTCGTATTCCTCTGTGATGACGTTGACAAGTTCGTATGTACTTAGGACCTTTTTGGTGATCTTGGCCGCCGCATTGATCGACGACAGGATGGGACGGTACGATTCTGGGAGCGACCCCAATATTATAGCGTAGAAGTCTTTTTCTTCGATGGAGGCGCCCATTCCCGCAAGGGACTCGCGGATGCGCAGCATCTCGCTGAAATGTGCACGTATGTCGCCGTTTTCTTCGCATCGCATCTCCTGAAGTCGACGACGGAGGTCGATTTGTACTAATTCAGTTTTGCCTTCGTGTATTTGACAGACCTCCTTCCAGACTTCGGATGCAGCCTCCAGCTTCTGTACCCGCAGCAGCAGACGATCAGTTATGCTGCTGAACACTTGTTGTTTTACCAGCGAATTTCGCTGGTAATAATCATCCAGTTTCTTATCCAGGTCATCGATCTCGGTCTGGGTAGGGACGGTGCCATCCTTCTTCGTTACGGCTCCAGTCTTGGGATCGACTAGGAACGGGATAGGTCGTACTGCCCGGCCGTCCACATAACGCATCAAACCTCTTGCTCCAATGGCCGTTAACGTACGTTCTTTGTATGTTATCCAGTTTGTGCCGTCTTCGGCTAACTTGGGAACGTTGAACAGGCTCGAACTGGTAGCGGGGAGCGTTGTGTCCATGACCGGGGCAGGGCTCATAACCTATTGAGAGTATAGCAGGGCGTTCATGCGAGGCTAGACAGGTAAGATCTCAGTATTCGGATTACGAATCTCTTTATTGACAAGTGTTTTTACCTAGACAGGTAAGCTACGGTATACGTTAGTACTTGTACTCAAACGTTACATTTTAGAAGACTTACATCTCAGTATTCGGATTACGAATCTGAGATGTTTCGATGGTGGATGGCTGCTTTTATATGGTGAGTGCGCCAGCTGGCCTTTTGATGAAAACATATACTAAAGGAATGAAAAAAGATAGCCGACGTTGACACGTCGTCTGGAATCTCCGTTTGGTGGCGCTCGCACCTCGAGCTGCCTTACTCTTCGGCCGTAGTCCCATATCCTCCTCTATCGGCCTTTCCGTCCTCAGGTTCTTCGGCTCTCAACATGTGCTACCAACGTTTAGGAGACCTGGTCACAGGTATACGTCAGACGTGACGAATGCACGCACAGACCAGTGGACTCGGCCTGGGCCGAGTGCGATCGTTGATTCAACTTGTTTAAACCTATCTAATTGTCCTCACTCAGGTCTCGTGGGAACGCAGATGAGGAGGATTTAGCCAGCGAAAAACGAGGACCCCGCTGCGAGTGCAAGGGGTCCCCAATACATTTGGGAAACGACCAATCCCAAACTCGAGACCGTAAAAGTACATGTGCTATAATTCCAGCAATTAAGGGAGGGAGGGAGGGAAAGATACGGTTTCAATAAGTAAAGTAATAAAGTAAAGAAATAGACTTAAGAATTAAATAGAGCCAAATGGATCCGCCGAATCATGGATAGAGCGACCATTAAACACGAGAGCGTGAAGCAAAGCTGGATTTTTTCGAACATAGATACGAAAGGCATCAGTAGACCATCTCCCCATAGCCTGAATGCGATCAGACGAAACTCCTGCAGCAGCGAGCGAGGTAGCTCCACCTGCCCGCAAAGAGTGACCTGATATAGAATCAGGGAAGCGCGCTCGAAGACGAGCAATAAACCACGCGCGAGTGGGAATTGACCCATCACTGCGCAGCCAAAGGAAGCTATTAAAAGGAAAAAACCAATCACGAGAGTTCAGGTAAGAACAGAAGGTTCCATGCGGATCAGCCGACTCGGCACGCTGAACCACAATGGTACTTCCTTCAAACTGAGAGTTGGATTTATGACGTCGAAGCACGAATGAATGATAAGAGTCGGTAATGATAACCGATGTGCGGAGTGAGACCTTCTCGAAAGTCTGAAGCCGACGGTTATCTGGCCACACCATTTCTCCTAGACAGAGAAGACCATAGAATCCGTCGAACAACATGGCGACAAAAAGAAGGTCATCGTGAGAGGGGGAATTTGCTAAAGCAGCTTTAGTGGTTTCCAAGTCGGTACGCGAAAGAGGGAGTTTTCGTCGAATAGGCACCCCAAACCGACGCTTAGCTCCCTTCAAGGTTCGCGACACCAAACGAGAACGCCGATTTTGTCGAACTTGCGGATAATACTCCTCAAGAACGCTACAGATTCCTGAGAGGTAGTTATTGACAGACCGGGGGTTGATATGAGCCGACATAAAGGTGACGAAGAGGGAAAGGGTGTCAGGTGTAGGATCCAGTGCGACGTGGTGAAGATCACAGAAAGTTACGTAAGAGTTAAGAGCCGAGGAATATGATTGGTTGGTTGACCTGTCAAGGGCCAGACCAAGATTAATAGACCGCTCATAGATGAGACGGTCTAAAGGCCAGGCAACCCGTGTGGGTTGCCGGGCCTCAACAGAAGAGTGAATTATTTTCCAGCTACCCCCAGCGCATTTCGAGGGGGCTGAAATGGTGTGATTCTGAGTCCCGGGGAGCATAACACTGCGTCACTCGCACGCCAATGAGAGAGGTGATCAGCGACAACATTATTGCTACCTGAGACGTGAAAAACTCGAAAGTCAACTCCGAAAACGAGGATAGTTTCAACCACATCCATGAGGAGGTGATTAAAACCCGGCCCTCCAGAGAGAGAGTTAAACATGAAGACGGTGTTGAGACTATCAGTGTAGACTGCTAGACGACTGTCTTCAGGAAGTCGAGTTACTGCATCGTGGATAGCCGAAGCGACACATAATGCTTCGGCAAAAAAGATGTCCTTCACAGGAGGACAATCCGGAAGAGGAGATTGAAATCCAAGATTGAGATCAGGGTACCAGAAACCTAGACCGGTTCCTGAGGCATCGCAGAAAACTTGCAAGGTGTCCGAGGATAGAGTGTGAAGTTGCCAAGAGATAGATTTAAACAAATAGATACCGTCAGAACGTTGGAGATGATAGGCGGCCCATAGCAACTCTTGAACGACACTGCGATTAATCCAAAGCAAACCTTTGGAGTTAGACTTTCCCTTGATCTTGGCGTAAACGGTGGATAATCCTGGACGCAGAAGAGGGCAAACATTGAGTGCCCAATTAAGCGAACCAGCAATGTGTTCAAATTCCTTGAGTGTCCGCTTATGCTTGTACCTCGCGAACTCGCGCAATTCTCGAACTAACCCCTTCTTCGAATCCTCTCGAAGAGAGATCTTCATGGCGTTCAGATCAACTTCAAACCCAATGACGGGCAGAGGCGAGCCAAACACCTGTTTCTTCTCCTCGTGGGGAATGCCCAGCTCATCCCATAGGAGGAGAAGTGTGACCATATCAGATGGAAGCATCTTGCGATACTTCCCGTAATAGGCCATATTGTGAACCTTACTGAAAGAGAAAGAATCGTCGACGTATATAAAGGCTTGAATAAGCCGGACAAAGACGGCAAGCCAAATGACGAGTGACATGAAGGCGTGGAATATCCGTTGTGATGCACGGCCTCCAAAAACGTTGGCACGATCGATTCGTCTTTCTCCCTCAAAGGTAACGACCTGTTTGATTTGCCAAAGCGGGTGCATTGGCATGTGACGGTATGCTTCTGAAACATCTGCCTTCCAGATCTGCAAGATGTCGTTGGGGTGATAACGTCGATATTCACGAATGGCATCACCAAGATCCTGGACGTTGTCCAATGTGACCCCGGCGATGTCCTCTTTGGCAATCATAGAGTTGAGAGAAAACTCTCCTGCGCTATGATTAGTGACAAGACGAAATTTACCTCCTTCCTTAGGCACGGCATGGATAGGCATACTGTACATTCCGGGAAGAAGATCGGGGCCAAAGTTAGCGGAATATCTTCCAATGTTTTCTTCCTTTGAGATTTGTCCTCGTAAGAAGTCTCGTTCTAACTGAGAAGATGGAGTTGGAGTTGGCACATCCCAAGTAGTTGGATATGTTCCAAGGTGAGTGTCAGCCCAGGGCCAAAAACCCTCGCGAAGTCCGAGAATGACCGAATGAACGAAAGGTTGATTGGGGTGATGTGCCAGAGTGAGGAGAGTTTCAAAGCGATCAATATTTATGGGAGTGGAAACTTGAAACAGATGGGGATTCTGAGCGATAGTTGAAAGAGCCGCATCATTTTGGAATTCTGAAATGGGAGGACGAGGAAGAGGTTCAGCAGATTCGGTCCAAAGAGCAGTACCGCTTATAGTTTTCGCCTCATCTCCCCATATCATTCGTCTACGAAACCTTTGCCCTTGAGCAATGGTTTCGTTAAGCTGTTTTTGCCAAAGGACAGTCGCTTCGCTTGTGTCCTCCCCGACAGCGACTACAGACGTGGAAGTGGGAACAGTCAGACGCGGATTTGTCGCAAGCTCCGCGATTCCAGTTATTGCAGGGCTCTCCCTTTCCCGAAGGTTCTCCTCGTCCTTTCTTTCCGAAGGCTGGTCCTTTTCCCACTGCTTTATCTCCCGCTGCGGAAGTAAGTTGGTGGAGCTCAGCATAGGCGACCATGCCGAGAGATGAGAGGTGGGTAACTTCGAGTCTTCGGAATTTAGAGAGGGAATCGAAGCGTAAGTACTTCTGCCCCTCGATTTTGAGGCGACAGGCCTTGTCGAAGTCGATAATTCAGGAATGTAATGCGTAGTGAACGTCGACGAAGAATCCGGATAAATACTGTTTGTATCCTCGTAGTTCAGACTCCTTCCAAGGCATGATGAACGTAAGTGCCTCAACCCATAAGTCGGTTGCGATGCTCCAATCGCCATAAGTTTTGACCTTATGGGTGGTTGTGGATTGCGACAAAGTGATTTCGAATCCTTTGCCAAGGGGTTGCGTTTGTTTGGGATCGATAGACGTTGAGTAGTGTCCGGAGAGAACTTTCTCCAGATCGGGTGCACGACCTTCGAGGAGAAGGGTCCATTGCGACAGCAGGAAGCTGGGACATCCCGGTGTTGCTGTGACCTGTCCTCTATAATATTTAGCGTCTTCGGTCCACTCTTCATAACATTGGAGAGTGAGTTCTTCGCCTCGTTTAGAGGAGACGTGACGATACTGTTCTGGGTCAAGCCATGGGTAGAACTGAGCCCGTTCAGGGGTAAGTTTTCTTCTTTTCCCTCTAAGGACATATTCATGGTCGTCCTCAGACTCCTCACTCTCCGCCTCTTCGGATCTCGCTCATCTGCGCAAACTTCTACACAACTTCCTTTCCTTTTCGACGGAGGATTCGCTTGGCTCTGGACTAGGGGCGCGGGATTGATTTCCCAATCTCCCTCCATCATTGTTGGTTCCTCCCTCATCTCCTGGACCATCGGAGGTGTGGTCGAGGAGGTCAAGGTAATGAATGAATCCAGGCTTGAAGTCGAGTTGGGTGAGGATAGAGGATTCACTGATAGCGGACTGGAGAATGAGTTGAATTTCCAGGAGAGCTTCTCCCTTGGAGATAACTCCCTTTCTGAAGTCTTCAACGAGCATAAGACATCTGCTGACGGAGTCTTGATTAAATTCATGTCGTTCCTCGGAAGAGGGGCCTGAAGAGAGTGTTTGGACGGTTGGGGCATTTTCAGACATGAGAAATATTTCGATGTATAATAAAAATCTGCGCAAAACGGTGGCTAGCGAGACGAACAAATTCGAGTGAGAATATGTTAATAATGAGAATGAGCAGCGTACCTAGCGAGACGAACAAATTCGAGTGAGAAGAGGTTGAGGAACCCTGTCACTCCGTCCCGCTAGACATAGACTGCCGGCTCCACTAAAGGAGGTGGCAATGAGGATTGCATAAGGCATAGTAGACATGCCGAACGACGCACGGGGCATCGGCCATAGAGGCAAAGAGACAGGCTCACAAACAAAGGTAAAGATCGGGTAGACCCGAGGGACTAGGCTGCTGAGGAGCACGCTCGTCCAATTACCCTTGTATAAATAAAGTTAAACTCGATAAAACTCGATGAAAGTTGATGTTGAACCGCAAATAGGGGTGTATATTAAGTTATCACCCACAATATTGAGCGAAATTTGAACTTCTGGTCGGGTAATACTGTGACGATCACTCGAGCCGTGTATCAAGTAGCAGAGAGCGTCTCGCTGCTAACCCTGCAGCGGAAGCGCAAAAAAACACACAACATGACAAACTTTGGATGTTCACAGTAGCCTCCCTTTATCGTCTGCATAGTATCCGGGTCAACAATATGGTAGATTGTAGTTTTGACAGTTGCGAATCGCGGTTACCTATCGAATGACGGGAGTGTATAAATAAAAATGTCGAATAAGAGCTCAGTGCTACGAGAGCTGGCAATTTGATAAGGTGGGTTCAACTCCCTTGTATAAGCTGACGCGCGCTCGCATAATAGTGGCTGGTCGACAGCCCCTCGATATAATTTGAGTACGGCTATTCTAGTTTCAAGGCTCAGTACTGTCTGGTCACCGTCAAGATGGCATAGCGCATTAGAATAGAGCTCGGGTCGCCATTATTACTGGTCACTCACGTTATTCAAACCTAGATACCCCACTTTCTGACCTAATAGCTTGCCATTAAACGTTGAGCAGGTGCCTAAAGTGGATTGGGACTGAGTGGTTGGTCGATACGATGAGCCGAGTTAGCTGAACGTTCGATGTTACCAGCCAAACGATCGGGATTCGGGAAGAAGCATTTTGAAATCCCGGTCACGTGATTAACGGAAGCAGTTGCGCGCATCTGAGTCTGACGCAGATTCAGTTGCCTGCTGAACACCGAGTCCAATAAATATTGGACTAGCCGGGATGGACAAAGGCCATGACCTGACAACCTTCTCAAGAACTATTTCCGCATCTTCTCTTAGAGGGCGATTAACGAAGTTAACCGGTGCACCATTGCGGCGTCCTGTAGCTGCCCTTCATGCTAGCATCGAGTGCGTATCAGATAGTTTGTTTATGTCACTGACTGATTGTATTATGGCATTCTACGACTTTAATTACTACGCCTCTTGTGCTATCCAGCTTTGTGCCAACCAAGATACCGCGGAAGAGGAGACTGCAGACTATGGTCGTTGCCGTGTGGTCGGTGTTGTTAGTTACGTCCTGCTTTGTGTTCCTAATGCTCTGGTACGTGCTACAATTCTCCGATATACCGTTTACTCGCTGAAATGAACACACCAAAGCTCCATACCAGCGTTATGGCCGTTCTTGGTCATGTACCTCATCTGGATTTTCTGGATAGACAAGAGCCCAGCATACGGCAACAGACTCGCTCCGTGGTTCCGGTCCCTGAAAATCTGGCAATATTTTGCAGAATATTACCCCGCGTCGTAAGTGTGGTTCTTCGTGCGTTATAGACAAAACCGTTTACGTCACCATCCATCTAGGCTCTTGAAGGTACGGCAGTGATTTGAGCTAACTTGCGTTCCGAATATTCAACCATGTGCTTAATGCAGGAGTGCGACCTACCCGCCGATCGCCCCTACGTGTTCGGGTACCATCCTCATGGTAGTCTTATCCCCTTTAGTCCTGAGCATCACTCATTTTGCGATTCAAACAGGCATAATTGGAATGTAAAGTGACATTCTCTTCTGCATCTTTGCATACTTCTTACTAATCTACCAGGGGCGCACTGGCTACCTTCGCCACAGAAGGTGAGTGTTTCACTTTCCCCACAGCATCAATATCTCAAATATCTTCTATCAGCCACCGGCTTCTCCAAAGCTTTTCCAGGCATTAAGCCACACTTACTCACGCTCACTAATAACTTCCACATTCCTTTATATCGCGAAGTTATCATGTCGCTTGGGATCAGCAGTGTCTCGCGAGAATCTTGCTCCAACATTCTCTCCAGTGGCCCGGGTCAGGCCATCACTATTGTAGTCGGAGGCGCTGCTGAGAGTTTGAGCGCAAGACCTGGTACGGCAGATCTAACATTGAAGCGCAGGTAAGCCTCGATACCGGACCATCACAAACTAGCGCCTGACAAATGGATCGTAGATTAGGTTTCATCAAGGTCGCGATCCAGCATGGGTGAGTTGATACAGGATTGATAGAAAATGTGATCGAAACATTTCTTCAGGGCGGACCTTGTACCTGTGTTCTCGTTCGGCGAGAATGATGTAAGTGTTGCATTCTTTTGCTACTCTGGATCGTCGACAACGTTTATTCAGATATATAATCAAATGCCAAACGAGAAAGGCACCACGATATATGTTCTACAAAAGAAATTCCAGAGCATGTTCGGGTTTACCCTTCCGCTTTTTCATGGGCGTGGTATGCTGAATTGTGAGTTTCAAACTTACTCGACTGGTGACCTTTCCTTGAATCATTTCTACTGCAGATAACTTGGGTCTGATGCCGTACCGACGACGGATTGTGTCAGTCAGTGAGTGCTATCTCTAACCTGATAACTTGTCAGGTGTCTCACTTCTGAATAGTCGGCCGACCGATTCATGTTCAACGCTGCGAAAAACCATCATTAGAGGAGATCGAAAGAGTGCAACGGTTGTATATCGAGGAATTGACCAGGTGGGTATTCCATGCCCCCTTCGTTGTCCGTGTCGAGCTTAGTTGTGTTCCATACAGGATATGGAACACTTATAAGGATGAATTTGCAAAGACACGCTTGAGGGAGCTCAGTATCGTTGATTAAAGTGGACGGACAAGATTGAGTTCTACCGATGTAATGACCGACTGGCTACGGCGAAAAACGATTGTATTGTTAGATTAAATATAGAGTTCCGAGAACCAGGGGACAGTGCGTTTTGCTGCCAAGGCTGGCCTGTCCGAGGCATTGGGGTAGGGTGAAGGCTTCAATACACCTTAAGGTCCCTAGTAATCATGGATCTCTAACAACTGTGAATCCTCAGCGGATATATTACAACGAGTACGTCAACATCCCATCAGATTTCTTCGTCATCAAAATATATCTCTTCCACAGGGAAGTCACCGACTGTGACTTTTGTAGGGCGTACGAACACTCCGTAGTTCGGACGACACGTAATATACTGCACTCCTTTGAGACTAGATATCCAAATGAGCATCGGCAAATAACACGAGGGTTCAAACTTACGGCCCATCATTCTTTCCCATCGGCTCATCATACTCGACACCGACCCAGAGTCCAGCAGCAAACTCAGTCTGACCAAAAAACCGAACTGCACCACGCTTATTAAAGCCCGGTTCTGTTGATTCTGCCTCGCAGCGTGATCCGATGGGGATGTTACCGCAGGTTCAGGAGTAGGTTCTGTTGAAGAGGGTGCAAAGCGCCTACTTTATGTCTTTGCTTGTAAGCCAACACGGAGTCTTTGAAACAAAGAGAATCAGAACCAGTTGTAAATAATAAGGAATGGCTGATTGATCACCGGTTCGTTGTGCGTACGCGTCGTCGCTGAGCTCTAACTTCTCTACTTGCGATACATCGGAGAGTTGACCCGTTAGGTTGTAGATACAAACCCTTCGACGTCGTTTACAGCCCGTAGTAAACGATGTGGAGAGGTTCGCATCTACAACCTACAACAAACGACGCCAACATATGCATAAACGACTGCTTTGTGAAGACTCGAACAGAAAATACCTTGATCGTCTGGAAATCCCGAACATCAAGCGGCTTAGCATCATGATCCAGCTGCGCGACGACCTGAGAATCGTCATCGCCATTGTGCAACAATATTTTCTGATTCTGAATGGGGATGCCTGTGATGAGCTCTAGTTTCGCCTAGATATTGGGTGGTGCACGAATCACGACTCGGACGACATGCGTGGTTGTCTTTGGTGTTCTGGAATCTGCAAGATGTGTTATGGTAGACTACACAACGTACGCAACCTTGAGCTACTCGATCGTCACGTGGAGGTCGAAGCGACGCTCAGAACGGGTATCTGGGGACATGACGAATAATTTGACGATGGATGTCATCTTGAGTAAGCATAGGCTACATATATTTCGTTAACTATGTACATAAACTGTCCCAGTCTATTCATCATACAATATCGTGAACTCAAATATTCGCTGTTCGGAACGCATAGGATCTACCACTAGTTCGAGAGATGGGAAAAGAGTGACATATTCTGCTCGTTGCTGAGCCGTCGTCCTCGCTCCACCGCCGAAGATCAAGCTTTCTAGGGGGCACTGTGACCGTTCAATGAACGCCTTGAATTCTTTGTGAGCCCATCCTCCTATATTGCTAACTTCGACGATGCGTAAATTCGGGAGCGTGACGCTGTCGAATAGCCCAAGAAGTCCGAACAAGACCGACCTCATATATAAATCGCCGGAAATGCGCAAGGATTGAAGTTTGTTGTGCGTCAATTGTCCTGAGGTCTCATTCGCCACCTTGAATACTCCAATCATCGTCAACGACGAAAGATTGGGACAAAGACGAAGCAAGCGGGGTAATCTAACTAGTCCCTCTACCGAAACCTCGAGATTTGTGAGACCGGCCCATGAGGGAGAATTGAGGCTAGTTAACGTCCGAAACTCAAGCAACACATCCAATAACCTGAGACTGCGCATGTTAGGCGGCAAATGCGTAATAGAGTCCTCGATATTGTCGAGAGCTGGTGCAGGATCATCACCGTCCGGGTATATAGCCAGCTCCTCGAGTCCGCCGAAGTCCGCCAGCACCAGTGGAAAGGAGCCGGCATCGGAGAATAATCCAACATGCAGTGAGGAAATTTGATTGACGTGTGGCTGGAGCAGGCTTCGCAGCTCTGTCCAGTTATTGTTATCACACTCGAGAGTCAATGACAGTTGACGTCCCCGTGATCGCTTAAGGTAGGATTCATAACAGAAAGCTCTCTGCTGCCAGTCGCCGTGCCCTATTTCCAATCGCAGCCTGCGCCATAAATTCGGCATGTTCACAGCAATCTCCCGCCATTGTCGACATACTGCAGTCAACTGCATGGGGGCTAGATCTGGCGCGGGCGCCCAGTTTGCATCTTCTGGGATGCAGTAGAGGAAGATTTCAGCGAGGATTTCGGTGGGCAGGCGCCCGATAGGCGATGAAGATCCCCTGGGAGGACCGATGGACTGCACAATCTTGGCCATCTCTTGGACGAGTTGCCAGTAACGATAGTTGACATGGTTTGGGATTGTGGCCTCCTCAGGCTCCATGTCGTCTACATGCGACTGCTGAAGTAGATGTTTGTTCAGACGCTAACACCTTCAAAATAAAGTACTTACAAGGCGACTAATGGTGCCCGAGATGGCTGATGAATCGGTGTTTGATTGCATATTGACACGAAGGAGGTTGAGATGTGAAGATGGAGGTCGGAAATGATTCTGACGTTCGGCCAACAATTGCGTCCCTATTTAAACTACAACGTTTCGCAAACCATAGGTCTACAACAAACATGCCTTGCTATTGTAGTTTTCGTAGCGGGTCTTGCTTGAAACACCGACCATCCACACCTGGAGACTTTGCATTGTTGCAAAGAGGGTCAGTGCGCACGCCTGTAGAATTTGTGGAAGGGTGACTTCAACATACTTAGTCGGCACTACTAGGTCATCCGGGAATTTTGTTTTGTTTGACCGTTGTGGAGCTGTGACCTTTATTCACTAGTATTGTGTTTTTAGTTTGATAGGTGCGAAGGTACTCACAATATCAGGCTCTGAGTCTCCTCCCCACATTCCTACCGATCGTACTAGTATGTACGCACTTAAGGGCCGATTCACTTTTCGTCAATCACGTCTCCTCCACTACATTCTTGAATTGAATCTTGCTAATGACGCACCTGAATTTAAACAGAGTCATGCTCTCAGGCTTGTTCAAGCGACATTAATATGACATCCTCAGTTTTGATGTAACCTCGTGGAAAGTGAACCTGAAGCGAAGCGAATTGACGAGTGTCTATGGGCCCCGAGTTTCCCAATGGTTGACAATGCGAACCGGTCGTTCACCATTGGTCCATAAGTAATTGGATTGGGAGGTGGATCTAGTAATTAGTCGGTCCGCCCATAATTATGTAATGTATTTTAAGTCATGTTGTTCAGAACTGTGCCGACCAACTCAACTTTTTTTCGTAGGAACGAAGCAAGTAACATGTAACAGCCCGAGGCGAAGCGAAAATCGTGAGGCCATCTGCCTTTAAAATCCCTGCATGCACGCTATGGGCTTGCATTGCTCACTGCAACAAGCTCCATGATATTCACTTCCCGCTTCACCATTCTTGCCCTGCTCACCCTCCTCGCTGGTGCCAACGCGGAATGCGCAGTGTGCCAAGAAGTGTTGTATGTCGACGGTGTATTGACCTACAAGCTAGTCAGGATCTACGAGGATTCTGAAAACGGGTTCAAGAAGTGCATGTAAGTCCCACTCACATTTTCATCGAGAAGGGTGACTGACGGTCCGGCAGCTACGTGGATAAGAAGAACGACGTGATGACCTGCGAGTATGCGGTACGTGTTTTTTGGATGCTGAGCAGCTCATCGTTCTCATTTGACTCGTTGGATGGTCATCAGGATGACGGCATGTTACAAGATGGGGGTTCGGGGTGTCCGAAAGTATCAAAGGAGGAGAACTATGCAGGATGTGATGTCGAATAGGCTCGACGAGAGGATCAACATTGGTCTGCAGAAAGTTGGGTATATCAATAGATTTCGTCTGCGTCAAAAATTCTCTTCATACGTGTTTCGCCTGGACCAGTTTGTGGCAATCAATCGCCTCGAGCATCTCGAGACAATGAGTGCTCCTCCAGGCCCATCAGTCAGCGTCTCAAATTCAAACCTGGGCGAGTCCGTCCATCCACTATTTGGAAGAACGAATAGTGACAGAATAGAAACTGAAAGTGACGCACGTGCATATCTCTGAGTTCACTCGTATGAGGTCCAGGGGAAGTCGAAGCAGATGCGTAGCTTCTGGCATCAGGTAGCGTAACACTTCGAACATCTCCATCTTACTTATCCCATTTCTTTTCACCTCATAGCGGCAGATATCGTGTGCCACCATACCCTCACCAAAACAGCTACGAACGATACTTGTGAGATTGCCCTCAAGTTACACATCACCGCCATTTGACTAGCATCCCCAAAGGATAATAAATGTGGCTGTGCGCAAAGTATGACTTCGCCAGTCTAAATGTATGTCCATCGGGTGAGGTATAGCTGTCGTTTTTCACAACTATCGTCACACCCGATAGCATATCCGTTAGGCACTGTACCGAAGGTGGTCGAGCTTGCCAGTGTAGGATAGAATGAGCGCTGTGGACGGTGAGGCGAGCTGACTCTTTGAGGCAGTGTCATATTGCCACATGAATGGGCAGCCTAGGTCGAAAGAATGTTTGGAAATGTAGGTCGAGCTCGGGTTTATGTAGCACCCCATAGCGGAGTGATTCGTGCGGGTGAATCAGGTGCACATAGTTCTCAGGGTAGCATGGGACGGAGGCGGATCGACGGGAGAAGCCGATTGTTTCTTCTACAGCACTTTGAGAAGTATTAGATTTATCAGTACGAGCAGATGCGGTGGATTCGGTTCATGTCTACTTGGTGATGTTGAGTACATGTGGATGGGAGGAAGAAGTTGACTTTGTTATGCAACACCTTACAATTCTTGAGAAGCTGCGCTCGAATCCGACGATTAACGTTTGTCGTTGAAGACTGTAGAAATAGACACACTAAACGCGTCTGGACAGTTTTTGACGCCTAGCCTGAGACTCTGGAGCGCCCACCACAAGTCCAGCTGGACTTATCTCATCTTTGACGCCCATGAGTGACGTGCAAAGACCAACAACTCAAGTCGCCGTCACATGATGTTTTGACACCTCGAAGCTCCGAATTCCAGGGCCCAGACTCCAGAGCCTGGTCATGTTATCTTATCTTTTGGACTTTCGTACTTGATTCACGGAAATGAGAGACTGGATGCGGACCTTTCTCGTTTTCTGTGTTCTTCTCGGTTGGTCGATAATGCCTATTAACCCTCAGTTACTCGGTAAGTTAGAACATTCTCAGAAAGTACTCGAGACACCGCCATCGGGACATCCAACTCCTGCTAAGCTCCCATCTCGCAACCCAACCCGCTCCTTCTGGATCGATTCCTCCCCGGACGCAAATCCACTCGCTCGCCATGGCAGTCAAGATCCTCTGCCTAGCAAGGCAGACGTCTGCATTATCGGGGCTGGTATCACTGGCGTTGGCGTGGCGTACCACCTTATCGAACTCTTGAATAATGCCTCGCTTTCTGTCAAACACCCGCTCAGCATCGCGATACTCGAGGCAAGAGATTTCTGTTAGTCTGACCCATGCTTATCGTGAGTTTATCGCACTGTACTGACTCGTTTCAGGCTCAGGAGCGACTGGTACGTGGAGTACTACGCGTTTCTTTAGTTCTTCGTGCGGAGAATGTTGTTTGCAGGAAGGAATGGTGGACATCTTACGCCGGCCGCTTTCCTCGAGTTTGCTCAGCGTCAGGCATTATTCGACACGGTTGAGGCCATCAAGTCATACAAATTCGAACAACACACCGCTTCTCTGCTTGTCAAAATAATAGAGGAGAATGGCTGGGCAAGCGATGTTGACCTAGTAGAAGGTGGACACATAAATCTCTTGTTCACAGAGAAGGAAGCAGAAAACGCGCACAAAGACTTTGATACGGCAAGTCAAGCGCAGCTCAATCTAGATGGTGTGGAATGGCTCTCGAAGGAGGAACTCGAGGAGGTGCTTGTTCTCGCTAGTCATAATCTCGACAGTCTGATTCAGCCCGCTCATTACCAGGAATATGGTGCACCTTACTCAGGATTCCGCGAGCCAGGAAATAATGTCTGGCCACTAAAACTCGTCACGAAGCTGTACCAGCATGCTCAAGCACACGCTGGACAATACGCCTCCCTAAGCTTGCACACTCGAACACCGGTGACTGCAGTCACACATGAAACGACCGATAATTCATCCACTTATACAGTCGTGACGAACAGGGGTAGCATATCGTGCTCCCGCGTTGTCCATGCCACGAATGCGTACGCCTCTTATCTCCTTCCCTTCCTAGCGGGTCCAAATGGGATTATACCAACTCGGGGACAAGTCATGGCCACCCGTGCTTCTGTCGGTACAGATCAAATCAAAATACCGAGCTGGAGCGCAAACGAAGTAAGCCATTCCATTCTAGCCTGTCTTGTCGTGACTAATATCTCTTCTAGGGATTTGCATACTGGTTCCCCAGACCCGTAAAACACGACACCGAAAAACCATTGATCATCATTGGTGGTGGCCGGGAAGCTGTGGGACCCCGATACGAGCTATATGTGGACGATGACTCTGAAACGCACCCTCTCGTTGGGAAGGTGCTTCGCGAGTTCTTACCATCTATATTCGAAGGTAAATATGACCCCCTTTCGGAGCCTGAGATGGAATGGGTAGGTACTCTTTTTCCCTGGGTGAAGATATCCCTGACGAGGGTTTAGACTGGTATTATGGGCTTCACGAAGATGGGGGACCCGTTTGTACGTCCAAGCGATTTTGGCAACTACTGTGGTTGATGTGTCCCTCGCCAGGTTGGGTCTGTAGCAGACCTACTCGTAGCCGATCCAAACAGAGAGCTGTATAAGAAACAGTACATCGCCGCAGGATATACCGGCCATGGAATGCCGCGCGCATTTGGATGGTAAGTCTTATATTGTACAGCTAAATCAACATAAATGACATGGTTTCCAGCGCCGAAGTCCTTGCGCAAATGATTCTGGCTGAGATTTCTGATAAAAAGTGGAAGGAGCCAGATTGGCTTCCCCAGCGTTATCTGACATGGAATAGACGAGTCGAGTAAGATCTTACGGAGCATGACGTTGGGAATATGGAAAGACTAGTTATCAAGGAACTCATTTTCGAGTGCGACAGCACCAACCTCTGTAAATGATGTCCAAGCAGCAAGGGATATCAGGTGTAGGGCCTTCGCAATGATTGGAATTATACCACGAGTGTAGGGCTATAATTCAATAAGGACTTCGTGCAACAGTTGCCAGTACTCAGCACGTGGTTTCTTTTCCCTTCTACTAGCTGCTTGTGACACTCCAGCAAGCGCCGGCGCCCTGTGGGCAGCCTGCCATCTTTCTGATCTTATTTTCTTCCACAAACTCCGATAAGCTCAGATGGCTCAGATACTTACTATATGCATCTGCATGCAATGAAGGCAAGTCTGGCGGCGAAGCCGGCAATGAGTAGAAAGCACCCGAAGATGTTATAGCACCGCTCTTTCAAGCTTACTCGTGTAGGATTTCCACCGTTGTGAACTTGTCAAGTTTCTAGAACCTGGTCTCCATGAAGGGCCAGTTTGTGGAACCGTGCATTCGTTGCTCGTACCTTACTGGATAGCTCAACTCCGGAGTAAAATATCAGGATGGTGCAGCTTGACAAAGGCGTCTGGTCTGACATGAAGGAAGATAAATGTCTCACAGCTTCACTTTCCCAGTTGCGAGTCATTCCTTGGTAAAACAGTGAATATTTTCCCTTATACAAAAGTTCATTGTTTAGCCCTGCACAGAACCTTCCCCGACCCAACAACAAACTATATATTGTGCCGTCAGTCATGGCATCATGAATTATAAGACAGGGATAGAACTCACTGTTGCGACGTGTCAGTAACTCTGGCTGAAACTACTCTTCAGAGGTGTACTGACAGATTCCCTATGAGTATTACAAAGGGTGAGCCATGATGGCGAATGAAACAAACGATCCATACTCACCTGCCTACAAGTAAAAAAGCTACCGCAGCAATCCGTGGTGTATGTGCAAGACTGGTATAGATTGCTGCATGAATTAACACTGGCGGGCAAAGATACTGTCAAAGCAAAAATGACAGCGAGGGTGGAGAAATGCATTTCTGATACGCGATCTGATCTCGAATGATGACTTTGAGGTGAGTAGACATGGTGAGATGCAGGCTGGCCTTTATATCCTACGCATACTAGGAACGTGACCTTGGCAGTCCTTATACCAAATTGGCAAAATAGTGATGCCTGGCGGATGACAGGGCGTCGCAATGTGAGTCTATTCATAACCTCATAGTGCTCATCGGATAAACGATTCAGAATTTAACAACACACAATATTGAATGCATCCTAAGTGACGAAGTGACTGCGTTGTACACAAGGCCAATGGAATAGTGAGTCCACGTGTTGATCACAGTTGAAATACGAATATTGTCAACCGCCGCGGGTGGCGGCCAATGCAGAAGACATCTCGGGAGATCTAGCCCTCCGTGGAAAGAGTACTTGCCTTGCATACTGCATTACAGCTTGGAGCCGTTTTCCTTGCAGGTCGAAAAAGCACTAGACCCACATTATCTAGGATGAAGGAAGCCGCGATAGGCATGGGGTCCCAGGGTGTTGCTTGACCTATCGTTTAGTGAATTGCGGCATAGTTGTGTATTTCAAAATCAAACACATGGTATTGAACTCCTCTAAGCCGCACAAAAGGATACCACTTTGCTGGCCGTCGTCCTCTGAGTTGTGTTAGAACTTATCTAGATACTGGAATGAAGGTCCAAGATGTACAATTCAACAGCCAATCTGGCAGGATCCTCATCATAAGCAAATCATAAGTGCAAAGTGACTGACCCGGATTTGTTGAAGCTCGCCTTTCACATGTGCACAAGTGGATGGTGCCATGTCGAGACCCCGTTTATACCATATTTATCCTTCGCCACACTATGAGGGCCAGGTGAAATTGACGCGGCCCTGCCGCAGTCGTGACGCGCCTGTGACGCAAATTGAGTACACTTGTTATTGATGGCTTGGGCTGATCTCATGATAAACTATCCTATCAACAGCTTCGTGGCTGACATTGACCTCGAGTGTCTGACCGCACTAGTCTAAGCAAGGATATTCGAGGATTCCGAAGAAGCAGGACCTGCAGGCAACCAGCAGTGGGGTTTGAATGCTGGCCAACATCACAGGCGATGGAATGTGTATCTCGGAATTTCTGCTGAATGGGTTTCTGGAAGAGATTATAGCGAGAGTGAACTTGAAGTGAAGAAGACATTACCTGCTCCGTTCAATAGATATCTAACTTATGTGATTGATAACACGGCCCCTTATTCAGTGATAACTCTGATGCTACATGTTTGAAGTCTGCAGACGAGCTATCCAAAGGTTCCTTCTCTGCCGGCTGAAGAATGTCTGCCCGTTAAACGTCGATGTCACGGTGCTCCACAGGCTCGAAGGGTCCAGAAAGGGAGGAAAAGAAATTCAAGCTCAAGACTCGTCGGTACCGCGTTACATGAGCGTCACGCCACGTTACGGCCGCGTCACGACCGCGGCAGGCGGTGGGCACTGGGCAGGACCGCGTCTTAGTGTACCGTGGATAACTATTGAGTTATCCACCCGCGTGGATATCCACCTAGTTATCCACGTGAGTAACTAGGTGGATAACTCAAAGCCAAAATCAATAGGGTGGATTATGTGAATAACTCAAAAAACAGTGTATGTGCACGGGGTCACATTAAATAACATTAAATACACTTAAAAAGCTTAATTGTTGAACATTGCAAGTCTACAGGCTTGTTTTGGCGGATCTTCATGCGATGTCAAGCAATGTTTATTTGGTCTATGCGCTTTTCGTAGCTTGGTGTCTTTGTTTGTATTTGTACAAACTCATCCTACTTTCTAGGTTTCGATCTACGGACTCGGTATCCTCTTTCTACTGAAACTACAACGTGATGGGACTTCGTTGGATGCGTTTGTTAGTTTGCTTGTTTGTTTGTTTTGGGCGAAAGCCCCGCAGGGGCTTTCCGGCCCGAAACATGGGTCCGTGCCTAAGGCGTCAGGTGAGCTGAGGGTGGGTTGGGTCCGATCAGTTCACTGAATTTCTGGACGCGATATTCTATGGCAGCGTACGTCATGCGTCGGACAAACTTTCTTCAGATTGAATTTGTCACTATGGTCAATGTTATTTGCCGTTTTCTAGGTGAGTTTGTCCGCACACTGATCGGGGAGTGGCGGGCGGGTGCAAAAGATGAAGCTAGAGTAGTGAGCTTTTGACGAAAGTGTCTCAGCTGCGAGGTGGGCAGAACCAAGAGGTGCTACGCCACCTCGCTTATTTTGCGCTTAGACTTAATTCTAGGCCTGCCTCGTGCCTCGGCCGGCCTAGCCCGCCATCTATGCGCTTTTCGTAGCTTGGTGTCTTTGTTTGTATTTGTACAAACTCATCCTACTTTCTAGGTTTCGATCTACGGACTCGGTATCCTCTTTCTACTGAAACTACAACGTGATGGGACTTCGTTGGATGCGTTTGTTAGTTTGCTTGTTTGTTTGTTTTGGGCGAAAGCCCTGCAGGGGCTTTCCGGCCCGAAACATGGGTCCGTGCCTAAGGCGTCAGGTGAGCTGTGTTCCCATGTATTAGGAGAACTACGACGCACTCAGCGAAGCTTGGGGCCCTTTCAACTAGGAGAAGTGCTTCTTTTCACCGGACTGGGGGGATGGTGTATCGCGTGAAAGGTTCCAGTACTGGTGATGCCTGAATGTAAGGTGCGAGAATCACAGCATGCTCTCTGAGATATAGTGTGAACGCTTCGCTAGACCACCTTCCCATCGTTTTCACGACTTCGAAAGGCACTCCGCGCAGAAGATACTCCAACGTTCCCCCAATCCTAAGTCCGTGTCCTTTTAGTTCCGGTAGGTTTGCTGCCGCTGTTGCTGATGCTATTCTTTTCAATAGTTCTTTCTTCGATAAAGGACGCAGTCCTTTGGCGTGTTTCCACGCGAATAGGTGCGCATCACTGTTTGCTGGATTGATTCTCAAGTGATTTTCCAATGCAGCGCTAGGGTCTGACGGCCCTTCCTGCATTGCCCAATATGCGTCCTCTCCTTCGTTTGGAGAACATTTAGTGCATGGTAGGTGGAATTTCGTAACTGGCAGACCGTTGCGGTCTGCTGTTTTGGATACGCCGGATCTCGTTATATGTTTCTTCGGATCGAAATTCCTTGATTGCATTTACCGTGAACTCTCCTAACCTTGCTATTGCATAAAAGGTCGTCGTCAAGCACGCGAAAATGGCCGCATCTAGTGGTGAATTGAGGTCTAGGTGCTCGCGAATGATGGCTAAGTAAGCGGGTGTGAATGGTAGCCGTTTAGGACGCTTGGACGACTCAGGCGCTGCCGCCGCAGCTCCATCTAGCACCGCTTTTAACTCATTGGGTGGGATCAACCAACTCCTTCCATGAAGTAAGTGCCAGGCTTTTAGACCTGCCGCGTAGTTAGCTAACGACGATCCGGAGTAGGACCCTGCGCAACTGCAGAGAAAATCTAGGAGGAGACTGCGAGCAACTGGACATCTGTGCTCTTCCGCGATTCTGTTTGTGTCACAGAACACATGGAACACCAGCAAACCCGCCCCATACGTTTCTTTCGTCGATTGCGCCCATGACGACCCGATGACGTCAAGGATTCGTTCCAACTGCGCCTCCGAAATTTCGTGTCTAGGAGACTGCGGGGTTACCGCTATTTCTTGTCTTGTACTATCTCCCGCTGGTAACCACAGCCTTAGTCGGTCTCGCGCAAGACAATGTGGGCGCAGGGTAGAAGGTTTGGGTGTCAAATTAAGTCTATAGTTCTGGGGAATGGGGGAGGGGGAAGTATCTGTTACATTTGGTAGCGGTGCTCCGAATCGTGAGTTCTTATGTTTCGTTATCGTTGAGCGCGCTACTGATGAAGCTTTCTTCTTCGGAACGGCTTTCTCTTGCTCGTTCGTCAGCTTGCTGTCTGAGCAGCTTGCGGTTGATAACTTTAGCTGCTGGAGTGGAGTAATGGCCATCGCGCAGGAGGCGGAGCTCTGTGGCAGACAGCGGTTCTGTAGCGTCGATGAGGAAGGTACCAAGCTCTGTTGGAAGGCTGATTGGGGGAAGAAGAAGGCTTGTTGGTCCGTATACTCCTCTGGATGGTTCATCCGCTGGGTTGGAAGCGCTTGGGACGTATGTAGTGACGACGTCGTAAGGGTAGGGTAGAGTGTGAATAAACTCGTTGATTCTATGAAAGACTTCGTTGACTTCTCGGTTTCTGTGTCTCCTCTTCCACCATCCTTCAACGACGCCCGTGTTGTCTCCATGGACGACGACGTGCCTGCCAATGCTAGGCAGAGAGGTGAGAGTGTATACGAGGAGTTCGAAAGCCACTGCCTCCGCCCATCCGATGTCTCGTTGACCATTGTGTGTTTTCCACCCTGGGATTAACCTCCAGGCCCTCCAGTAGTTACCTATTACAATGCCTATTCCAATTCCTGAGCTCGCGTCTGAGAATGCGAGAGGATTTTCGAGTTTGAGAGATGGGTAAATTGCTCGTTTTACACCGCCGGACTGAAGTAGCCTAGCCCACCATTCTAGATCCTTCGCCACCCTGCTTCCTGCTCGATGCGGAAGGAAGGGCTTAGCGCCGCAGTGGGAAAGCATCTCCTCGAGGCTTGTTAGGTATGCCCTGCCTCGTGGTACTGCTTGGCACGCGTGTAGTAACTTGCCATATAGCTCTCGTACGTCTTGTAAAACGTGCGCTGGTCTCCTTTTCCATTCGTCGATTGCTGCCAGATATTTGCTTACTTTTGCAGGACTTAGTGAGACTATCCTTCGTCCGATATCCCAAAGGAATCCTATATAGATTGTCGTCGACGAGAACGGTTGGTCTTTCAACAATTCCCATATAATGCCTAGGATAATTGACAACTCGTCAATATCTTGCAAGCTAAAAGCAAAAAGCTCGTCGTGTTTCGATCTCGGTGAGCGAAATGAAAGGTCCTGTAGAGGTTTTGAACAGTCTTCGCTCAATTCCTCCAGTATTCCCGTTTCCTGACATGTGTCGCCGAACCACAGCCTTGCGCCAGATTGTCTCATCCCTTCTTTCGCGAAGACTTGACTCCACTTCTTTCTCTTATCGTTGTACGGCTGTAAGTACTCTTTTTTGATTCTGAAAAAGATATGATCGTCTACCCATTTTTCTAATGGGCCAATGCCGTTGTTCCTAAAGATTTCGGCGCCCGCATCTGCTATGTGCCCGTATACTCCTGCCGAAGGGGTGGCTCCGAACGCAGTGCATGTGTCGATGCAGAAGTGGGAGTCTGATACTCTTACTATTCCTGCCGGCCATTGCGAGGGGCGCAGTGGGATTGTCCGGTACGCTTCCGCCACGTCTCTTGTGGCTGCCTCTGAATCTGGGGGAAGACTTGCAATTATTAGATATATGTTCGAAAATTTGCCCCATGTCGTCGGAAAGTCGCTGGCATTAATGTAGGAGTTTATCGAGGGATTAGGGTGTGAAACGTTTGGGGATGCTGGAAAGGAAAAGTTCTGTACTATCCTGAATTTGCCTGGCTTGCCCGGCTTAGGGATTATGGACAGCGGCGACGATTGAAACGGTCCTATGAGACTTTCCAATGATTCAGCTCGAAAGGGTCCAATGTACCTTCCTTTGTCCAATTCTTTTTGGATGATAGTTTCAAACTCGTTCTGGTACTCGGTAATCGAACTTTTATTTGGTGGAACCTGCATAACGCTGACAGGAGGAAAATCTATCTCAAAACCTAACCAGAGACCATTTGGTATCTTGGCGAAACGTCCAAGAAGTCCTGCTCTTCGAAGCTCCTGTTCCCATGCATCAGCCTTGTATGGCGTCAGCGGTATCTGCCTTCTGCGCTCTAGGGCATCTTTGGGCGCCGTGCGTAGCGGCTCCGCAGCCTGAACAGGCGTGGCGCGCATCGTGTTTTGGCGTTGTGCATCCTTCCTCCCTCTGCCAAGCGGTACAGAGTTGCTTCCCGTCCTTAGCCCAAAGGCCTTTGCGGATGCGCTCTGCGCAGGTCTCAAACTTCTTGTCCCATGTCTGCTTGGCCGTACACTCGATGGTGCGGTGCGGGTGTCTTCCCAGACAGACTGCGCAGCAAGGTAATGGGCCTGCATTGACAGTGGGACGGACTGTTCGTACCTTCTTGTTGCTGGACGAATAGTCCTCTGCAGGAGTATATGGTCGCTTCTGCGAAGCTGCGAGGTACTGCGGTTGAGCTGTTACGAAAGCTGCTGCCGCTTGCTGTAGAGACACGTAGTGGGACCGTGTAGTTCCCAGTGTTTTTAATTTAATTGAGTTGGGCGCGTGATGGCCGTGAGGGAACAAGGCATATGATAGCCAGGTTGTAAGGGGGGCACGCGATGGCCGGGGTGAAAGCACATGATGGCCGGGGGTAAAAGCACGCGATGGCCAGGGGGTAAAAGGCACGCGATGGCCAGGGGGCAGGGGCACGCGATGGCCAAGGGGTAAAGGCACATGATGGCCAAGTGTACGAGAAACGGCGCGCGATGGCCAGGGAGAGTACAGTTTCGTACAAGCCCATTTTGTCGGCGCATGATTGGCCGACAGGAAAGACACATTGTACGACGACAACGAGTTGTAAGTGTTAATATGCGAGAATGTTTTTAAGAAACTTTTCGTTAGGAATGGCTGCGGATCCGCGATGTCATTACTGACCTGAATAGCAATAGCCGTTTCTTTTTCTCTCTTCTCGTTGAACAGCTCTTCTCTTGCTTCGAAAATTAAATCTTGATTGAGGTCTTCGAGGCTCCATCCTTGCGCCGTTCCTATAGTCTGATGCCAGCGTCGTCGTTGCTGGGATTGATATAGTAGTAGCGCTCGTTGTTTGAGCTGATCTGGTGAATGGCGCCAACGATGTGTCTGTAGAGCAGACCAAAATTGTATATGCATGTCCGTCCGGTCATCAGGCCAGTCGTACAATTTCATCATTGTGATCATGCGAGGGGCGGCTTCGTTGAATTCTTCCCAAGACAGATTCTCGTCTTTCACAACCGGAGCCGCTTTTGGGTCCTTTACTGCCGCTGCTGGGATCCAAGAGTGTAGACCGTCTGCTGCTGGTAGCATTACCATAGCTTCCGGTTCCGCTATTAAGTTGGACAGTTTCGCGTCTTCGAGACCACGGTTGGTGAAATAATGGAGCTCGCAGTAGTCTCCGGATTTCATCTTCCTTGTAGCGTATTGTGCTGGAAGAACAGTGGGGTCGGAAGGTACTTTTCCGCGCACTATGGGCGCGTACTTAGTTTTATTCTTCTTCCGTTCCTCTAGACGTGCAGCCTCTTCTTCCTCCTTGCGTTGTTGCTGACGTTCTTCCTCTTCGTCCTCTTCTCTTTGCCTGGCTTCTATCATGCGCCGTTGTCTGAGTGCCCAACGGTCTTTCTCGGCATTGTTAGCTAAGGTCCATAGTGCTGCTAAGGTCCGAGCTGCATTTTCATTCGAGAGGCCTTCTTCTACTAATTGACGCCGCGAAGCTTCGTGTTCTTGTGATGTGAAGTCTGGCCTTACTGCCAAGTTAGGATCTTCCATTAATAGTACGGTATTTCGTGAGTCTTGTATGCAAAAGATGAAGCTAGAGTAGTGAGCTTTTGACGAAAGTGTCTCAGCTGCGAGGTGGGCAGAACCAAGAGGTGCTACGCCACCTCGCTTATTTTGCGCTTAGACTTAATTCTAGGCCTGCCTCGTGCCTCAGCCGGCCTAGCCCGCCATTTAACATCAACACGAAAAATGAGTGAATTATTGTGATCTTTGAGATATTCATCCCCCCAGCCTTTAAGATCCACGATCCACCAAACTGACATGAAGCAACAACTCCAACAGTCGACAGCAGGTGAAAACACTTGTCAGGACTGTCCAAATCCGTAGTTGGTACAAACACGATCCCAGTGTGCGTGTACATCAATATTATCATTGACTATCTGCAACTCGCTGACCTCAACACTAGGCACCACCTCCAAAAAAGAAACCAACTGTCAAATGGCGAGATATGTCGTCAACCATTTTTGGTGGCAAGCGCAAGCGAGGGAAGGACTCCGACAACGAAATTTCTGATGTGGATGATGATTTCGCAGATGAGCTTGAAGCACCTCAGGCTAACGAGGATAATGGCTCAGACTCGGACCCTGGGGATAAAGCTGAAGATAATTCAAGTCAAGTGGATTCTTTTGATGGCGAGAGTTTCGATGCTGCCAGTATCATCAATCTCGACTCCAGGAGACTAGCTGATGTGCTTGCTGATAAGGATTTAGTGGCACCTGCAGCCCCGAGTGACATTGTCATTCTTCCACCAGCAAGCACCTTTGAGCAAGAGAGGGTCTTGACAGAGGCAGACTGGGATATGGAGTAGATGCACTGTATAATATATTAACTTAGTATTGGTGAACGAGTGCAAATTTTGCGAAAAACGGGATGGATTGAAAATTTTTGCAGCGTCCGGATCCGCCGGGCCGGTTTTGCCGTCGGTGGATATCCACCCTACTCACCGGTGGATAACTGACCCTCAATTTCTCCAGGGTGGATAACCTCAAAATAGGTTATCCACGGTACACTACCGCGTCTACGCACACTATGATACTCGTAAGCTGCGAGCACCGAAACCAGCACAACTTATCCAGGCCCCGAATCCAGATTTCCACCGAACATCTACACCCGCGCCAGCAAGCAACATGCGTACCAACTCAAAAGAAAACGTCAATCTCTCACCGGCCTCGGAGATTATTAGTGCACTGCATATCGTCGTAAGTGCTGAAGTTTCAAACAGTGCAAACAATAACCATTCGTTTCAGCTACGTTCGCAAGCAGTGGTTTGTCTATGTAGATGTACAGTATCTGATGTGTTATTGACTATTTACCAGATGCCAGACGTTGGAACACCTTATTCCCAAACCACTTCCCCCAATTCCAACCACTGTGCAGTCGAGTTTAAAGACCAAAGCATTCGTGCCATTATTACCTACCGCCAGCAGCAGCTAGATGCAACTTTGCACGACATCTCAAGTTTGGAAACAGTTATCGACAAAATCAACAATCTTCACCGACAACTGACCGAACAGAAGGAGAAGCTCATATCGTCCACCATGTTGCACAAGCGACTCATATCACCTATTTGGCACTTGCCGACTGAAGTCTTATCCCATATTTTCGTTCACTGTCTCCCAGAAGACAAGTACTTGTCGCCTGCATCGAAGCTGGCCCCCGTTCTGTTGACCAGAATATGCCGACGATGGAGGGAGGTTGCTGTGGGTACGCCTAGTCTGTGGGACAGGCTAGATGTGCCACACGACGTCAAAAGACAGCGGGAACTTCCCTTCTGCCTTGACGTGTGGCTCAAGCGATCACGAGGACGTCTGCTCTCATTGGCACTCACCTGTTGCTTTAGCTCGACCATGATCAAGCTACGACCCCTCCTTCAACCTTACATAAATCAAATCTCATCATTCTCTATCTGTTGTCGCGTGATTTATGGCAAAATCGACCCCTTATTCGAAGGCCTCATCGCGCTCCAGGAGCTAACAGTCAATAAGCCGCTTACTGAACAATGTTTCTCACTACTACCACCCACCCTGCGCATTTTCAGGGTCACATCACCATATTCTGAGCTTGAGTTCTTTCCTTCGTGTGAGCCTGTATGGGCTAACCTGACAAATGTCGAGATCCCTATACATCGCCCGGATACGATCCTCCGCTTGCTGCAGCTATGTCCCAACCTCTGCTCCTTAGCGATCCGCCTAAGATTCGATAGGACTGAAATATTTCAACCACTCGTGCATATCCGAATTCAATCCCTGCACATCATCGTCGACATCATTCAATACCCACATCATCTACTCGGCGAGATTGAATACTCTACCCCAAACCCTTTACCTGGCCTTCTCGATGCTCTCTCACTCCCGAGTTTATGCACAATTGAAATTCACGGTGTGCCATGGCCTCATCAGGAGTTCAAGTCATTCCTGACACGATCAAATTGTCCCCTGGAGACGGTGATTTTGGCCACTGAAGCGATGATGAGACACACGCAGCGAGCGAAGTGCATTGCTCTTATTCCTTCTCTTGAAGTTCAAGTTGTAGTATCACAATCTGAAGAGTCTTGATCGAAATACTTTACACAAGGTTTTGTTCTTACCTACTGTTTCAATATCATCGGATATTTATTTCTTCGTAGTTTCATAGAATTATCACACTATGTTTCTCATCACGATAACACCATTTCCTATAGCAGCTGTGTGTTCAGTCTCGAGGCCTCACGTTCCGAACCTAATCCACCCTCGCGTTTTGGATAGTAACATTACTACCTTGGCAGTACTAGGGAATGTCACTAATATACCTTCTAATTGTATGCATGAAGATCTAGGGGAATCAAAGGGGAATGACCATGATATGCACCCGCAGGGCCTCTCTGATCACGTATTAGCTCTATTATCTCGTGTTATAGTATTTGTGTATGTGATCACTATTATAAGTCAAGTGCGTTCCACCCCGACCAGTCATCTACTAGTCCAAATCTCGCTCCTCCCACGACGGATAAGCCACATGGCAAGACATTACACCGTACAGTCTGCAGGTGACATGTCGGACATAGAAATGTATATGAGGGCATCAGAGCTATGCATATGTTGGTCGAGGTGCCAAAGATGGAGGTGCATGCGCGTGGCAAGGATCGCAAGGATGCACACCTGAAAGCTGCAAGTGTTTTGGTGTTATAATTGGTAGGAATTAGCGACAGAAGTTGGGGGTGCATACAGTTCGAGGGCGGTGTAGTATGGGGACTGTGTGGGGGGAACATCAACGACTCGGTTATACTGAAGGGTGCCAGTAAGTTTACGTACGTTGGGAAATAGCGCTGGCACGAGGACATTGACGGCCGAGAGAACTTTCGGAGCAGTAGTCATCACCGATGAGTATGGAAACATGAAACATGCAAAGTCCTGACTCACAGAGACCGCATATATAGTAGAATATGTTATGCTTCACCAAGATGGCTTGCAGAGGGCCCTTTGTCGACCGCCAGCTCTGTATGGCACGTGTGAGTGTGAGAATGATCAATACTGGGCGAGTGTCAGTGAGCATGCATTTGTAATCTATCCTCCTAGCTCCCAGCAACATACCTAGTTGAAACACAAATAAGAAAATAAACGATATGAAGTATAGAACACTGCTTGATCTCGAGGGGCAGCTAGGGGTGCCCGGGATCGCGCTAGTCGTAACTGTGAAAGTAGTAGAGTGAATATGTGCGAGTAGTAGTAGGCGAAGGTGAGGTCACAATATGAGGTGGCAGTGGTGGCAAAACGAATGCTGACGGATGTCACGACCATAGCCTGGCTGATTCAGCAACCATGAGATTGGATGCGTTGAGGAAAAGAGACTCACGAAAGCAGTGGACAGCAGGCCTACGAGTACGATCCTATTGCTGTTCCAGAGCACATATGTTCTAATCATGAAAAAACCTTGATGAAACGGATGAAGAATGCACATATGTTATGTAAGAAGAAGCAAATACATTCAGAGCAAATGATTGATATCTGACTGAAAGCTGTGAGAGGAAGAGCAGTACTCGACAGGGACCCGTATGGAGCATGTACTGTGTACGTACATGAGTAGACATTGATCAGCATCTGACATTTCTGGTGAACTCATGCAGTAAGTATTAGTGTAAGTCCACTGTATATCCACATACATTGGGGTCTTCGATCGGGGCGAAGTTCACTGAAATACAACATGTCAGTCTGTTGTCAGGAAGATTGTGCTGGAGTTCATCGACGCACGATATAGGTGCATGACGATCAGAAAAAAAGGGAGATATCGTGTCATGATGTAAAGGGCTTTTACTTTGGTCCAGCGCGACCGACGCAGAAATTTCCACTTTGAATAACATATTGTCAGTATCCACACTGAAGTTGTCACGTAACGAGTCACTACCTCTTCATGAAGTGCACAGGCATAATCATATGTCTGAATAAATAAGTTTAACCGCGGATGGAAAAATATCAGGATCAGCTTACCCAGAACGTCGTCATCGACACTGAGCTTTCAAGTTAGAACGAGGAAGAAGCCATTCAGACAATACATACTGTACAGGTACTAATGGAATATGGTATGTTAACTTGCTCTCGTGTTATTAAGAAAGCGACGCACCGCTAATCGCTGCTGACTCGTGGCTGCTGAGATATCGACCGCCGGATACTCCATCTGCATTTGTTCGATAGTAAGTGAAGAAGCGGGATCCTCGCACACACGGCATGCACCTTCTTATCTCTGCAGGAACCCGGTACGATCGGATATTTGGGACGGCATTTGAGCGGCAGGCTAGGCTTGGTCGATATTTTCTAATACGAGTCAGACCGTCACTCCACCATCATGATGGACTGAGTAAGTCTGGCTGTGTGGTTAGTAATATTTGATACGGACTGATTAGTGAGCACGCACCAGTACATCAAAGTATTAGCGGTACCTAGACAGCAGTCGAACTACTTGGTTGATCTCGAAGAAAATTGGCAGGCGAAGCATGGAGTTTGAATTGAGTTGTGCCGGGTCACCGGGTGTCTTACACACCGACACTAGCCGTTTTGCTGCAAGTTATGAGTCTTGACCAACCCAAACCATGAGTTTCGATTCTGTAACCTCGACGAGTTCAAGTCTTCATCGACTCTAGTCACACCCGCGCCAGTACTGACGACGTGCAGAAGTCAACTCGAAAGAGTCTAGAGAACGTCAACTTATCCCTCGCTGGCCTGGATATCATTAGTGCACTGCAGATCATCGTTACACTTGAGTAATGGTTTGTCTATGTAGATTTATTTGATGTGATATTGACCAATTGTCAGATTCCCGGGCCATATGTTGAAACCCCATACACCCAGTTTCTCCAATCCCAACCACTGCGCAATCGAGCTTAGAGACCAGAGCATCAGTGCCATTATCACCGACCGCCAGCAGCAGCTAGATGCAATTTTGCATGACATCTCAAGTCTGGAAACAGTAGTCATCAACAACATTCACCGATAACTTACCAAACAGGAGCAAAAGATCATCCTGTAGGCGAGTCATATCATCTCTTTGGCCCATTTAGCCTACAGCACAAACTAGGTGTGGCCATGACAACCTTCCTCCATCGTCAACATATTCGGGTCAAGTTTCAACAAGATGGAGGCCAGCTTCGATGAGGCGACAAATACTTGTCTTCCGGGAGACAGTGAACGAAATGTAGGATAAGACTTCAGTCAGGAAGCGGCCATTCGACCTCAGAAGACAGCAGGAACCTCATTTCTGCTTTCTTCTTTGACGTATGGCTCAAGGACGTCTGCTCTCGTTGGCACCCACCTGCTGCTCTTTTGTTCGAAACTCAACTCAGCTATGAAACCTCCTTCTGTCTTTCATAAATTCAATCTTATCATTCTCTATCCATTGTCTGACAAACCTGACTGCTCCTTAAAAACCTCACGGCACTCCAGGAGCTAATAGTCAATAAGCCGCTTACTGAGCAATGTTTCTCGCGACTCCCGTCCACTCCGCGCGGTTTCAGGCTCACAAGTCATTTCTACCTCGAGCTCTGGCTGACCTGATAAATCTCGAGATCCCACACATTGCCCGGACGTAGTCCTCCGCTTGCTGCAGCTATGTCGCAACCTATGCTTGTTAGCAATTTGCCTATGATTCAAGGGAACTAGAATCTTTGAAACATTCTTGCACATCCAATTCAATCCTTACACATCGTTGACTTAGTTGCTCAAACAGACGATACTTGGACTGGAATTCTGTGTACTCAACGCCATCATAGTACTCCAATCGAAGCTCTCTTCGCAGTTGTGACTATCTATGACATGACCTTCTAGATATCCGTGCAGCCAACAAGTGATCTAGTGTTACGCCCTGAACATCGGCTCTGATACTATGCACTAGCGACACATACAACACAACAATCGAAAATTCATGGCCCTCATTCATCTCGAAGTAGTGGATGATCACAGTCGTAAATCTGCATCAAATTGAATCGTGGTTAATATTTTGCAAAATTTGGCTGGGATGGCTACGAAGAACTTAACCTGGAGTCTTGGACTGGAGGATTCAGAAGCGGAACAGGACACTGTCCACTCTGCGCAGTCTCCATACCCTGGGGCTATGGTTCGACATCGAGCTCTTATCTCGTTTCAACCTTGTATATGGGCGGACCTGCCTGATAAACGTCACAATAAACACAGATTTTACACACTTCAATTCTTACGTATCACTAGTCGCGCGTAAAAGTGGGTATAGGTTGCACGAGTCCACGTGACAATGATCCAAGCTGTTTGATCCATATATGTACCTCAACATCCCCTTCAATCAATCTGTGCATTGTGCCCTGAATTCTTCGACCCATCACATTTGTTTCTCGAATCATAGCCATGGCTGAGACAGTGGCATTACTAGAACGACGACCAGTATGCTTACTCTTCTGAGGAAGCACACCATCAACTGTTCAACGTCAACTCGGAGCCCAGAGCCACTCGTCAAGTCGCTTTGTATTAATTTCAGTTCTGATGTTCAGTCGGTCGGAGTTCTAGTTCCCATTAATATTGGAGCAGGAAAATGATGATGACATATTGTTCACAACTTAAACCAGAACATGACTGTCGAAGTTCAGGTGTGTCATTACTCAGATCAACAGTGGAAGAGATGTGATTGACGAAAAGGGAATCAACTATTCAATGCGTACGGCAGGAGTGTGGAGAGTCGAAGCCTAATTTTCGTGAGTACCTTCACGCCCATCGAACCAAAAACTCGAAACTCGAAACTACAATAGGGCGAAGTTTATAAAGGCCACAACTTTGATAACCATGAGTTGTGGTCCACATCGGAAGATGCCGACTAAGCGTGTCGAAACCACCAGCAAGGTCACCACAGATTCCACAAGCGCTCGCATTGACTCCCTTTGCAACAATGCAAAGTCTCCAGCAGTGGATGGCTGGTGTTTGACATAAGACCTGCTATGGTAAACTACAATAGCAAGGCGTCTTCGTTGTGGACGTGTGGCATCGTAATTTAAACAGGGACGCGACGGTCGACAGAACCTCCTGCTTTCAATCTGCATCTCCAACAACCAAACCTCTACTCGCGTTAACATGCAAACATCCCACTCAAACGGCGATTCATCGGCAGGCTCACATATCCTACAGAACATCGTAAGTGCTTGCTTTTGGAGGTATTGGCATCTGAATATAATGATAAACATTCACTTCAGCAGGGGAATGTACAGGTCTCAAACCAACACGATGTCAGCTATCGTCACCGGCAGCTCGTCGAAGACAAGGTCACAATTATACAGTTGCCTACGGAAATCCTCGCCCAAATTTTTCTGTACTGCATCCCAGAAGACGGAGACCGGACGCCCGCGCAACATCTGGATCCCATGCTCTTGACCACAGTATGTCGACGATGGCGGGAGATTGCAGTGGACATGCCGAGTCTATGGCGCAAGCTGCGATTGGAAGTCGGGCACGGTAACTGGCAGCACAGAGCTTTCTGCTATGACACTTACCTCAAGCGATCACGAGGACATCAGCTGTCGTTGACACTCGAGTGTCATAACGATGACGGGAAGGAGCTACGAAGCCTGCTTCAACCATACGTCAATCAAATATCGTCTCTGTCTTTTGGGTTATCCTTCGGTGCCAGCTCCTGTCCAGTGGTGGCGGCGGACTTCGGGGGACTTGAGAAACTGGTTATGTACACGACCGGTTCCAATTCTGCACTAACTATCGCCCACTCTGTCGCCTACTCTATCGCGCAACTGCCGCCCAGCATGCGCACTCTTAAGTTAACGGACCTGTGGCTTGACCTCAAAATGTTGTCTGGCTTCAATCCTCTCGCATGGGTCAATCTCACGAATCTCGAGATCGTGGTAGACGCACTAAACTGCTTTCCCCGCTTGCTCCGCCTGTGTCCCAACCTCTCGTCATTGACGATAATTGGAATGTTTTCCTCGGTGATCGAGACCTCGGAAGAACTGCCGCACTCCAAACTTCAATCCTTGCGCATATCCGGGGATTTGCTTCTCGACTGGACGGGAAGTCTCGGGTTGTTCGATATCATCACTCTCCCCAATCTACGCGCGATTGAGGCTCGCGATGTAGGACCATGGCCTCATGAGGCATTCAAAGGATTTTTGACACGGTCACAGTGTCCTCTGGAGAGTTTGATCTTCGGCGGTGGAGTAGTGACTACGCGTCAGCAGCTAGAAGAATACCGTACCACTTTTCCTTCCCTCTCATTAGTGACTGATCCTATGCGTTGCTCATTTTACTTTTAACTTGGCTCGAACAGTCGTTTCATACTACATAGTTGATGACACGATGATAACGAGATTATGCTATAGCCCATACTTACCCTCCGCCAACCCTTCAATAGAATATGTTCGTGAGCCACGATACACAAGTTGTGAAATGAGCGGGCGTCTAGTCGAAACCAAACATGACTCATTCGGCCCGCGTTCCAGTCTCGCATTTTGAATAGTAGCACTACTACCTTGGCAGTAGCGGATATCGCTAATATACCTTCTAATTGTATGCATCAAGATCTAGGGGAATGAACGGGGAATGGCCATGATGTGCACTCGCCTCTCTGATTACGTATTAGTTCTGTTATAATATTTGTGTATGTGACAAGAATGCATTATTATTATAAGTCAAGTGCGTTCCACCCCGATCAGTTATCCCCTAGTCCAAATCTCGCTCCTCCCATGACGGATAAGCCACGCCATAAAACATTACACCGGACAGTCTGCAGGTGATATGTCGGGCATAGAAATACATATGAGGGCATCAGAGCTGTGCATATGCTGGTCGAGATGCCAGAGATGGAGGTGCATGCGCGTGGCGAGGATCCGAAGGATACATACCTGAAGGCTGAAAGTGTTTGGGATGTTATCAGTAGTAGGAATTCGTAACAGAAGTTGGAGGTACATACTCTTCCAGGACGATGTAGTATGCGGACTGTGTGCGGAACATCAATGACTCGATCACATTGATGTGTAGCAGGAAGTGTACGCACATTGGGAAATAGCACTGGCATGATGACATTTATGGCAGAAAAAACTTTCGGGACAACAATCATCACCAATGAGCGCAGGGATATGCATGAGAACGGACTCACGGAGACCGCATGCATAGTAGAATATGTTATGTTTCACAAGGACGGCGTACAGATGGCCCTCGGACGACCGCCAGCTCTGTATGACATGTATGAGTGTGAGGAATACCAGTCCTGGGGCAAGCATCAGTCAGCGTGTGTGTGCAATCTATCCTCCCAGCTCCCGGAAACACACCCAGTTGAAACACAAACAAGAAAATAAACAACATCAAGTATAAGACACCGCTCGCGCTCCAGGAGCAGCCTTGGATGCCTGGTATCGTACTAGCCGTGACTATGAAAGTGGAGTGAATATGTGCGAACAGTAATGGGGGAATGTGAGATCACAGACTATTTGAGGTGGCAATAATGGTAAAACGAATGCCGAGGGATGTTACGACCATAACCTGAATCCATCAATCATGAACATGAGTGTGTTGAGGGCATGGGACTCACGAAAGCAGTGGACAGCAGGCCTAAGAGTACGATTCTATTGTTGTTCCAGAGCGCATATGTTCTGAGCGCAAAGAAACCTTGAATCGGGTGAGGAATACGCATATGTCGTGTAAGAAGAAGAAATACTTTCAGAGAAAGTAAGTGATATCTGGCTGACAACTATGAGAGGAAAGAGCAGCACTCGACGAGGAGGTGTATGGAGTATGTACCGTGCACGTACATGAGTAAATGTTGATTAATATCCTACATTTCTGACGAAATCATGCAGTGAGCATCAGTCGAAGTCCGCTGTACATCCACATACATTGGTGTTTTCGCTCGGGGTGAGGTTCACTGAACACAACACGTCAGTTTATTATTGGAAGATCATGCTGGAGCTCATCAACGCACAACATAGGTACATGGCGATGAGAAAAAAGGGGAGATATCGTGTAATGATGTAAAGGACTTTTACTTTGGTCCAGCGCGACCGACGTAGAAACTCCCACTTTGAGCAGTGTTCAATATTCAACCCGAGGTGTATAACGACACGAGTTATTACCTCTTCGTGAAAGGAACAAGCATATTCATAGATCTGGATAAACGAGCTTAACAGAGGACGGGCCTCGGAAGAGTCGAGATAAGCCTACCCAGAACGCCGTTATCGACACTGAGATGTCAAGTTAGAACGAGGAAGAGGCATGCTAGAAAGCACGTACTGTATAGGTACTGGTGGAACATGGTATGTTATCTCGTCTTCGTGTTAAGACAGCAACGCACCGTTAATTGCTGCAGCCTCATGACCGCTGCAAGATCGACTGCCGAATCCATCATTTGATAAGTTAAGAAACAGGGTTCTCGCATACACGTCACGCACCTTCTTATCCATGCGGGAACCCAACCCGATCGGAGCGTAAATATTGGGGACAGCATTCGAGTGGCAGGCTAAAGTCGATGATCGTGATGGGGCATTGCTCACAGGTTGCACTAGCAGACAATTATGCTTGGAACAACATAAGCACCTTAGGGAGACCTATTTTTAGATGCCGGAAGGAAACGACCGAACTTGGTCGACAGAAATCGTTTATCGTATGGTTCCAGAGTAGCATCAGAGAATGTGTTATCCTCAACGATATTGCATGCATTCTGGGGGAAACAGCGCCGCTAGAAGCAGTGTCGGGAGCAGTGTTGTTACTACCCCGCTAGAAAGCATGGCTAAACGAATCTGCCGTTTAGGTAGCGGTTCAAAGGGTGAATGTACCAGAAGTTATTTAGCGTTAAAAAGAGATACCTCACCCAAGATCGTTTCTGATTGAATGACATTGTACTAGATGAACGATGGCATCGGGATCAGTGAGAAGATGAGAATCGGTAAAGACATCCCTTCCGAGAGCATAATAGTTGCCTACAATAGAGTATGACATGGGTGAGGCCTCGAGGGCTATCCGGGTACTGCCCAGTACACGGCGCGGACGGACCAGGCTGTGCCGCTGTGGGACGACCTAGTCCTCATGTTGTCAGAGCCTGTCAGTATGTCACCGGTTGATGCAACTATTCCAGACATTTATATTCCATGTGCGCAGTGCACAGCACGGCGGCTAGTTGTCACCCTCTTTCATCAGTCTTCCACGCCGACTCGAGTATTGTAACCCACCTTAAAGCGCACTGTCTTGGGCGCCCGAGTATTAGTAAGCAATGAATACACAATCGCAAAAGAACGGTATCTGTCCTAGAGTCTTGAAGAATAAGCAGCGCTGACACAGTGGTTGGAAGTAATACTGATGATGAAATTATAGGTGAGTGTCTCTTTGTACGACGTGATGTAGCGATATGTCGTTTCACCAGAAGTCTATAGCTATCGACTCCCGGAATTCGCCAGCTTACAATTTGAAGCGCTACAAAATGGAGAACGTCGCCTGCTCTGGGACTTCGGGCGGAGTTTAAACGCCGCTCGATAATTCCAAGATAGCGCGCGCCTTGTCGGATATGTAGTGCAGTATCGCCGAAGGATAACACTGGAATGGAAGGGGGTCAAACCCCGTTAACACCATCTCGGGAGAAATTTGCTGCTAAAATTAATGCGTTAAAAGATGAGTTTCTGGGTACTTTCTCTCTACGGGCCTTTCCGGGGTGCGCAGCCATTGGCCGAGTTGTTAGTTGGGGGGATTTCGTACATAGAAACGGACTTGGATAAAAATGTAGTATCCAACGCATGTGACTATCATAGGGCCTTGCCCCACCGGTCAATAGACGAGGATTAAAAATAATAATAAAATGCAGTACAGTCTTATCCGAGTCATTACCCACACTCCGTCTACTTGTAAGTTATACTTGCAAGGTACGAAGAACGTAATAGCCTCAGAGTGAACAGATCCTCGACTTTTACACGAAACACAGCTCAAGTGTCCATGTCAGCGCCGCTACAACGGGGATTGGATATTGAATTCTCGATGACGCTTTACTACGTTTCTATGGCGTCCAGTCTTAGCTGCACATCATGATTGAAATACTACGACTCAAAAAAAGATCAGGTGAGCCCGGTAACCACCATTGTACGTATACACTATTACCTTTCCACCTTTGTACTATGCTAATGATACAGATTTGAAATGATAATGGGGGCTAAGCAGATCCACTGCGTTACACGATCGCAATTCGCTGGGGTTGCTGGTCCGGTCCAGCCTTCGAAAAGGACACAGTAAGCAATCCATTCTCCATCTTTGCGTGGACATCCTCAGCCTGGAGGGTACAATACGGTCAGCACCAGATTGCTACAAGGAATTCACATTGTTAGTGTGCTCACCTTGATTCCCTGAGGAATTTGAAGGGTCCTGGAGAATTTGCCATGAGAGCGCTCCTGCACCACATAGCTGCCCTTGTTATAATTATCCGAGCATTTCGACTCTCCGGATATTGTCAGGCGATTTCCATGGACTTCGACATTGACATCCTGTTGCTTCATGCCAGGAAGTTCAAATGTCGCCGTGACCGTCTTGGTCTCAGCGTTCTCATGTAGATCCATTCTGTGTTGATGCAAGTCAACGACATAACTTACATTGAGATTTAGATCATGCTTACCTAGGGAATGCCCGATCACGGCGATGAGTCAAAGTAGTATTACCCTCGATGGTAGGGGAGGGGTGGAAACGAGCATTGAAAGCATCGTCAAATAGCTTGTCGAACTCGGTGAATGGATCGTAGAATGTGCGCACTAGAGACATGATTAAGTGCAGAAATAGTAGATGTCGAGAGAAGGTGTTTTGATGGTTGTTATTGATTGAAGTTGGAGGAGTTTGCTGAAGTCTGAGCGACTCTGACCAGCATTTATATACATGTCCATGACAATATAAAACGAACGTCTGTAATGTCCACGATGATACGGGTGTCTTCCAGAAGTTACCCGGTATGTGATTGAATGGCGATCGACGACGTTCTATAATATTCGAGATTGATTCCGAGTTGAGAAGCCGTTAGTAAGGCGTCGAGTTCTTTATTTGAACACAAAAGTCCTGTTGACATGTATTTTGTTTATTACTAGAAAGGAAAGTTGGACTAGTCCCACTAGTCGGGCGCGCTGCTATGTGGAGAACCTCGGCTGATAATCGAATATCCGGAAACTGTGCCAGGGCGATGCACCTCCAGAAGAGCACAGCTGCTCGCATACAGACATGAGGGGGTATGCGTCAAGCGAGAAGAATGCAGGCCCATCAGCGTCTAACTTATTCCCATGCTCCCTGTGCTGGACCAGCTGGTGCTCAGGTCAGCACTGAAGACATATACTATGGTGCGCTTGCGTTTGCGGCCGTGTTCAGGTGTGTCGAGCTGAAAATTTGGATTTAGAGGAAATAAAAAGACACAAAGCCACGGGAAGCTTCGTACTGTTCAGGATAATCTATCTTGGGGTGTCCAATGCTGCCTGGGCGAGACCGGTCCTCTAATATGGAACTTGGCACTTTCAATACATATTCAATGTCCCACTGACTGTGTTCATACCTGCCATACCATCAAAAACATGACCACAATAGGGGACGAGGAAAACTCACTTCATACCTTCGGTTGTCGCGACCTTGTAAATCGAGTCGCCCACAGCATTACCCTTCCGAAGGTTACTGTGCAAATGAGTGCCAGTTCTTGCATAATCACGATGAAAGCAATCGACACTGATCTGAATTATTAGCCTTGACTGCGTCGCTGCGAGTCATTCCTGCATTGAATTGGTCACATCACGCTTCGATAAACGTCACCACCTGTGATCATACAATTGCCAACTCCAAGCCGACTCCTATTCGTTAGTTTTCTTCTGAACTTTGTTTCTTGACCACACGCTAGCAAAAAACATGCAGACATCTAACTCTCTCTCATCGGCCTCAGACATCATCGATGCACTGCACAACATCGTAAGTGCTGATCTTTCCATTCTTCTTTGCAGGTAATAACTTCTCGCTTCAGCTGCGTTCACAGGTAGTTGTAAGTATATCTTTGACTCCATGTACATTGTGGATATCTGATGTGACATTGACCATTCATAGATGCCAGACCTCGCCACCCCATTCTCCCAAGTCAGCGTCCCGAATACCTACCTCCCTACCACCGATTCCAACAGCGAGAGCATCAGCACCATTATCACTGAACGTCAGCAGCAGCTGGTTGCAGTGTCGTGTGAGATCTCAAATCTGGAAACAGTCATGGACGATATCAAAAATTTACGCCAGCAACTCGTCGAACGGAAGGAAAACATTATTCAGTCCATGACTTTTCACAAGGGACTCAGATCGGCTCTGTGGCGCTTGCCCGCTGAAGTCTTAAGCCAAATTTTTCATTACTATCTTCCAGAAGACAAATACTTGTCACCCGAATCGAAGCTGGCCCCCACGTTGTTGACCAGAATATGCCGGCCATGGAGAGACGTTGCTGTTGATATGCCCAGTTTATGGTGCAGGTTGCATGTTAAATTCAACGTCACCAGAGTCGGGCAAAAGGAGGCATTTTACGACCACGATCATGACGACGACTACTACTACTACCACAAAAAGTTTCCAGGGGGTCACACTTGAATGTTGAAGTCGACCACAGAGCCTGGCAGCAAGCAGTTTTCCACTATGACTCCTGGCTCAAGCGATCACGAGGACGTCCGCTCTCAATAGCACTGGAGCGCTACGACTCAACTGCGCTCTTAGGAGACCTTCTTCAGCCTTACATGGATCAAATCTCATTTCTCTCCATACATTTTTCCTGCAAAGTGGGCAAACCACAACTTTTCATAAAAGACATGCCAGCACTTCGAGAGCTGGTCATACGGAGGATGGATGAACGTGACATTCTGACTATAGCGGAATGTATCTCGCAACCCCCGTCTACAATGCATGTTCTCGATATCATGTACGCGCCGTTTGACATCAATCTTCTATCTTCTCTCGATCCCGTATGGGCCCACCTGACACAGGTCAAGATCAGCTTTTGTCGTCAGGATGCATTTCTCCATTTGCTCCGTTCATGCCCCAACCTTTTCTCGTTGACGGTTGAAGCAAATTTCAATCGTGAACAGACCTTGGAACCATTCACACACGCCAACCTCCAATCCTTGTACTTGAATTATGCTGAAGAGGAGGCGTTCCTAGCTCGCTTGTTCGATGCTTTATCACTCCCCAGTTTGCGCGCGTTTGATGCCTATGTTTGCGGCGCTGGCGAGATTAGATGGCCTCATGAGCAGTTGATAGATCTTTTTGTACGGTCAAATTGTACCTTGGAGCGCCTGAGGTTCTGTGGTTTGACGGTGATGGATGTGCAGCGAGCAAAGTATGTTGCCCTCATTCCTTCCCTCGACGTAGTGGAGAACGTAGTGTGCTTGTGGTCTCAGAATTCAACAGAAACAAATGACAATTGTTAGGGGAGCTCATTCCACGAGGACACGTTTTCTAATGTTGTGATAGAGAGTTATAGCGAAGGCATGACTGTAAATATCGTGCTGAAAGCGGCGGGAGAAACGAGAAAAGGATGGTACGACGCTGGACGACACATCTACCAGTAGTGGCAGCAACGGCGCCTACGTCAGAGTCCTCTTCATAGAGTATATTGACCCACTTGTTGCTATATAAAAGATACCTGCGCCGGAAACGAGTGTTAAATAATATGTATATATTGACACCAAGCATGGTATACGAGTCAGCGTCTCCATAATTAGCTCGGGGAGGCTGTAAGATGGAGGAATTCTTATCTATCGGGTTGTTATTGACTTTTAGTCCTAGAGATAAAGTTTGGCTGCGCACATATACAGCAGCGGTCAGCTGGGGTCCGAGATACCAGAGGACAGACATACATATGGGGGAGCTTCAGGCAGCCTACTGTGAGCTCCTGTACTTTAAATGCCGTAAGGTTCCGAATTTCATGATCCTCAAGTTCCTCGAACGTAATTTCTTGATCATGACCGACGACTGTAACATGCAGACAGTCAATTCAAACGTGAATTTCTCCACGGCGGTTACAGACGTAATCGGTGCATTACAGAACATGGTGAGCGCCGAAGTATTACATAATAATAAACATACCGAATAGTGACCAATTTCTTCAGCTGCACTCACAAGCAACTGTATGTCTAAGTAGTAGTGACTCGTATCCGATGCGTCATTGACCACGAACAGATCGCAGACCTCGGAAACTCCACAGCCACCATCCCAAGTCGTAACCATGCACTATTCACGCTTAAAGGCCGAAGCCTTAACGCCATCCTCACTGAACGCCAGCAGCAGTTGGATACACTGAAAACAGTTATGGAGAGTATCCAAAACATTCACGCACAACTCGTCGAAGAGAAGGACAAAGTCATCGAGTCCATCAATTTGCACGAAAGACTCGAATCGTCGGCTCTATGGCGCTTGCCGACTGAAATCCTATCCCACATTTTCGTTTACTGTCTCCCAGAAGACGAGTATTTGTCGCCTGCGTCAAGGCTGGGTCCCATCCTGTTGACAAGAATATGCCGACGATGGAGGGAAGTTGTTGTGAGCATGTCCAGGTTATGGTGCAGGCTGCGGTTGGAAGTCCAGCACGATGACTGGCAACAAAGAGCTTTCTGCTATGAGGCATGGCTCAAGCGAACCTCAGGCCAACCACTCTCGCTGGCACTCCACTTCTACGGTAACGGGACACGACAAGCACAAACCCTTCTTCAGCCTCATATTCATCAAATTACTTCTCTCTATATCGATTTTCACGGAGTGGACGAACCTGGATTTTCATTCAAATTTTTCCCAGCACTTCAGGAATTAAGCATTGTGGGTCATACCGCAGCTATCGCACAACCCATCTCGCAACTGCCGTCCATGTTGACCAGTCTCAAGTTTCCAGGGATGTGGTGGTTTGACCTCGAGTTGCTGGCTTCTTTCGCTCCCGTGTGGGCCCAACTGACAGAAGTCGAGATCTACGTAGATAAACAAGATGCATTCATCCGTCTGCTCCAGCTATGTCCCAACCTCTCCTCGTTAAAGACCGGCATAGTAGTCTCCCAGGTACAGCCCTTGGAGCCATTCACGCACCCCACACTCGAATCCTTGCACGTCTGTGGCAGGGCTTGGATATTTGGTAACCCACTATCCGGCGTATTCAATACTCTCTCACTCCCCAATCTGCGCGTACTTGATGTTTGGAATACATCAATGTGGCCCCATGAAGAGTTCAAGGGATTTCTGGCACAGTCAGAGCGTTCCCTGGAGAACCTGAATTTCGGCGCTGTAGCGATTACCACAGAGGAGCAACGAGCGGAATATGTTGCACTTATGCCTTTCCTCAAAGTAGTAGTAGATCCCTGACCTTGTATAGCGATTGTGCATAAGATTGGCTACCCTACGAGTACTGGTACTACATGCCATAGATCAGCCTCCTGATATACTTCCCTTCGCAGCTTCAACTACTTATGTCAGGTATTTTGCGATTTGTCCCCTCTTATGTATTTCGATCCCAAGTAGGTGATTTCAGTTTGATGCACTGTACGATGATAGACGCCTGTATGACTTGTGTCGTGTCGTGATTGAATAGTACTGTCTTCTTCTAACTTTGGCCTGACCTTAGCAGACTGACCAGATTCATGTGCCTCCCGCACGGGCAGCGCGCTTATCTGTATAAGTTACCGCAGATCGCTACCCTAGAGGATTTCACACTCCTTGACGTTCGCTTCTATGACGGGACCCATGTCCTGCCTACCTGTGAACATGGGATGTTCCCTACAGTCGAGGCGTTATTTACATACGCTCTGCTATTCCCTGGTCAAGGGGGTCCAGAAATGACGTTGCGCACGAGGGTATGCACGATTACTTGCATACAGTGTCAGAGAGTGGGTATGAGGAAGAAAGATACGAGATCGCGCTTCCCGTAACTCCAATCGTCACGCTTCTAGTCCGCTAGATGCGGAGCGTGGAGACAGACAGGATCAAGTATAGTCGATGAAGCCGCCGGCGGGAATGGACAGTTGGAGTATGCCGCCAAAGGCGAAGGCAAAATGGGCAATTACTTGATGATCGATCATTGGACCGTACCTTCCTGCCTTCCTGAACAACGCGACCGGCCTGGGAAGAGAAGCCCATGTTCGTCAGGTGAGCAACCAGGATAAAAATCTCAAGGGCCACAACGAAAACTTTCGGAAAATCTGATTAAATTTGTGCGGCAATCCGCCTTGGGGGAAAGGAAGTAACGTATGATGCGTGTACCTGGGAACGACAACATGGGAAATCTCGATGTGACATTACTCCGCGATTCTTTTACAACAATGCTCGTGTATCAAGTGCACATTCAATGATAGAAGTGTGAGCTCGCAGCGGGTAAATGTTCGTGATACGGAGCCCGCACCCCTTTATCAATTTCTCCCACTCGCGCTGTTTAATCGTCAGTGGCACATCATCAAACTTTGTTCTGCACGTACCAAAGATCTCTCGCAACCATTTATCAGGGTCATCATGTGCACAGAAGAACCGCTTACGATTTTAGATGCTGAACCAAAGTGCGATGGAATCCTGTAGTCGGGACCTTTAGCTCTGCTGTCATGCACCAACGATTGTACGCTCGTAGCAGTCGAATCTACATTCGGGACAGCTACCATGTCGATGATGAGTATCTTGGACTGTAAAATTCATCAGACATAGCGCGTTGATCTGTAGATTTGGCTATTGACCTTGGGACCCAGTGCACTGAGCTACATGTCCCAGTATCGTTGTCTAATTCAAAGTCAGCTATGTCATTGAAGTAGGATGTGCTACACCGACCGCTTCTTTGTCCGGCCAATCATGCCTTTGGCACAAGACTGTTATGAGCAAATCCAGGGCAAGTGATACAAATACTCACATTATATGACGCAAGATAAAGCTATACTCGTTTCCAATCCGAGGCTGAGGCTGGAAAAGATCATGGGATTCCACCTTGAGTACACCATTTGCGACGTCGCGAGGGCGGCGATCTTCCATGATCGAACTTGTCAGTGCGACTACATTCTCCATGTCCTGCACGATGGCTCGGAAGGAAGGATGCCTGTCATGATTGAGATACCTCTGGAAAAGGAATACGTACGCCAACTTACGCATCTAGGATGGACGAAACTAGACCGCCCTCCCCTCCTCCACAATCAACAATGACGGGGGTTTGCAACTGTTCCCATGGGTAGTCCGCCACGATACTCGGCGTAGACATGTCACCAAAGACCTAAAATAGCAAAAGTTAGATGAGTGCTCTACAATTCTCTAACACTGGGAGGATAACTGACTTGAAGATGTTCCGCGATTGGAACGAGGACATCTGGATTCTCCATAATCCAAGAGAATGCCACCAAGGGTGTTTTGAACGCGATTTGAAAAGCAGTCTGGTCTGGAGAACGTGACAACTTCCAATCCGATTCCGCCACCCAATGTGGTATGGTTTCTATTATCGACATAAATCCAGGCATACTGCTCGATATTTAGTCCTTGGCAAGCGCTGATGCAGTGAAAACATACGAAAAGTTCAGTCTTCGACCAGCGTTGCCTTCAATAAAAGTGCGCGCGCATCTGTTCAAAGCAAATGACGAATCACGGGTCTCCCTGACCCAACCGCTGGCTGCACAGCAACGAAGAATGGGAACAATTTTTCGAGAATCAAGTTCAAATTTGGAGGCCAGTTCGGCAGCCGGGACACCTTGGGAGGGGTTTGGCACATCAGACAGGTAGTCGATAATGCCGGTCTTGATAAGGGTGTCAGTGCAGGCAACACCATATACCGTGAACCTCTCATCCATGATCTTATCCAAAGGCGACTGGATAAGGTTCTTTAGCTCTCCCTAGAAGAGATACTCAGATGAATAAAACATAGAGCACAGTTAGCGACCAACCAGACATGCTGATATATGATTTGAGTTATGCATTGGTCCATATTAGAATAAATATGACGTACCTAAAGAGAGGCGGCGAGCGTCAAACAACCCCGTACTAGGTAGGTATGTTGTTGGGTCATCCAATGGGTGTGCTACTGAGCTTTGCTGGCTCAGGGGGGGAAGTTGAGAGCTGTCTATCTCCTTGCGAAGTGTGTCAAGTGCGAGGTTCAAACATGCTTGCAGACTGGTCAAGCTCTGCATGTGCCATGATGCAGTTTGCTGTCGAGAAAAGACGAAGTCTTTCAGTCTTGATATGTCTTGCATATTATATACCCGTTCTCCATACTGATCCTCTGCCAGCACGGTGTCCGGCCCATCGGCCTGAAAAAGAAGGAACGGCCTCACTACACAGATCCATCGGTAGCATAAGTTATTCAGTGGCTCTATTTGTCCATTCTCGTAGTATATCCGAGGAAAATGGCGGTATTCATTCTTTTTAGGCTACCATACAATTGAAAACGTTAGAACAGGCGAAGCCATGACGAATGAAAAACTTATAAATATAATATTTTGCAGGCTTTCACGATGCTATTTCAGTCGCAACTTGATATCATCCGGAGTAGTATTTGCCGGCTACAACAGGCTACAGCCTAGTGAGCAACAGTGGTGGAACATAACTGGAAGCATCCGGGGTTCGGAGTTTTGCCATGAGAATACTAATATTCGCCACGTCACGAACTTCAAAATTGGTAGGCTTCTCAAAAAACATTTCAGCGCAACGCATGACTAAACACCAACATTGTTTTACCGCGTGTCGAGTTGTGCATATATCTTGATTCTTGAAGTTTGAAATTTGAAGGCGCAATGTCATCGAGTCTTGCAAAGCATCGCCGTATCGACTTGGTAGTCACTAGTAGTAGTAACGCCGCACATCTCGCCGAGTCTTCTCTTCAAAAAACGACTGCTGCAAGAACCTTCGGTGATCCCAATCCTCTGGAGAACTAAAGGACTCCTTCCGCGGTTAGCACAACATGAGCTGGCAACTCGGTCAGGAGGCCGGACTGGCCAGGATGGGTGAGAAGTTCGAATAACAAAGATTAGAACTTGGAGAGGTTGTGAAGATCATCGAGTATCCGCTGACATAAGCTACTACTTAGGCTAGACAAGGGCCCGAAGTCTATACTCCGAGCTCCAGGGTCGACGCCCATCAGTCACCGTTTCGATGGAAGCTTCGTGAGGATAACCTTTCGGATCCAGCAGTTTCCAGCCTTTTTTCTGAATGCAGGATGGTTACGCCAACGGTCGAGATCCATGTCCTCGCCGCAGTTGACATCGCTCGTTAACTCCTGAGTACATATTCAGTCGTCGTACTTACGTCCAGGGGAGGGAGTCGCAAACGAGGCAGCAAACTCGCTGAATCAACGAACAACACTTTGAATGCAAAATGATCAGCCAAAGTAGATAGCCTAATTTGCATTTCGATTGTGAATACAAATACAGTATCTTCAACCCAAAGTTAGATTTGAACATGGCTCATCTCGACAAATCGCTTGTTCAAAACCTCTATCTCGACATCATCGAGCATAGTGCCAAAGTGTCTCTCCAAGTGGTCGCGTCTTAACGCGGCAGGCCATGACGCGAGAAGCTCTAGTCTTCCCAAATTGAAAAGACCTGCTCGTCGGGTGACGAAAGTACCAGTGAGATGCCCGAGATCAAAATCACAGGATCTCAAAAACTTCTCAATGTTTTCGGGAACAGCATCCGGATGCATGTGTGCACCGGGAGTCTCGCTGTCTGTCACTCGATCTATCTCATCGTAGGGGGGCGGCAGGTCGGTCGGTGACATCTCCGCTTCACCCTGCTGTACATAATGAGCGTGGACAGAAGGGAAGGCGAATAATCGACGCACTGCAGAGGAAGAAGACCTCATGGTCATCGTCTGTTTATACTTTGCCACCGCCTTTCTGAATCGGAAGCGCTCGTGCGCAATACGCTTGCTGAGGCTGATTTTCACATATAGCTCAACCGGCCATGCATCTTCATATTTCGAAATCAGGGAGGGCATGGTTTCATAAGCCTTAAAAGTAGATGCTAAAATTACAAAAGCGCTGCAGTAGTAAACAGATTGACCTACCCATTGTACAAATCTTCGCCAGGCTGAAGGATCTTGTTCGTCGAATTTCTTCGAGGGATCGAGCGATGCATACATCTTCTCACGCACTTGTCTCTGTACTCCAGATGCTGGGTTCAGTAGGAAAATGGCACAAGAGAACAGGCGTACCTTGAACACCGTGAAATCCTCATCATCCATGTCCAGAGCTTGGGCAATTTCGCCATGCCTTGAATTATGAAGTCGGCGAAACTCCGCTTCAGATGGTCTTGGAATTGAAAACGTCCGGGTAGCTGTTGCAGTCATCATGTCTGTTGAAAGAAACAGGGAAAAAATCAGAAGTGATTGTTTTGAAAGAGAAAAATATAATTTATCTCGTGTGTACTCACTGGATTTGACTTGTTGATAAGATCCGTAGGATGAAATGTGAACGCTCGTGCCGATTCTTCGTTCCCTTTTGCCCCTACCCCAAGGCGCAACTGACCTTATCTGAATTTTTTTTTCAAACATGAATCAGAATCATCTGCAGATAGATAATCAGTGTCCTCCCTGAGAATACGCCTGTCATTCATTCTCTTAGATTGGCGCTCTCTGTACTCGTGCCAGGGGATGCTGTGGTCTCGTGTGCCATTATATGATCTCAAGAGGAACATTTAAATCACACGTGTTGATTCACCGCGGGTTAGTAGTCTCACGACATACCCAGAAGGGCTGCTCGAAGTGAGACACAGGCGGCAATCACCGTCCTAGATCAGTCGATTTGTTAGTGAGTGAGTTATAATAGCCTTACTGATACGCACCATGCATGATGTGCATCACAAGGAATAAGACGCGCTATGACTCACTGGGGACAGTACTGGATTGCCGAGCATGCGCGAAGCGCATGGTGATTAGAAGGATGCCTGCACGCAAATTGCACACTATAAATATTCCCACATTTACGAGTGATTTGACCGATTGCACGCTGGAAGAAGGCACAAACGCTGATAGCAATAGACATGATCTTAAACAAAAATACCGTATTACAATTCTACATTAACTCCTCATCTTCATCATCATCCCTTGTGAGTCTATTGAGGATCGAACCATTGAATGAGTCTGATAAAGCGATCAGAACCAGGCAAGGATGGAGAGAATGGCAATGGCTTACGCCCTATGCTTGTTGAATGCTTCCCTCGGTACGCAGATAAAGGGGAGGGTGTCTGTGGCATACCAATCGAGGAGTTCAGTGAGGAAAAAGGTGGAGGCGTGGGTCCGGGTATGGAGTATTGGAGGGTGCGAGAAGGCGTTGATACTGGAGAGGAGACGTATGGGGAGAAAGTGCGCTGCGGCTGTGGACTCGTCTATTTATTATCAGTTCAGGACACTCGCTCGGAGATACCAGGACTTTACATGAGGTGACAACACATTACGGCGTTTTTGTAAGTGTGATTGCGGTGTCTTAATGCTCTTCGAAGGTGACGGCGTGGGTGGGAGAGGTTTTTGTGGATACATGAGCCCTATAGCTGCCTGAAGGGCGTTCAGGGTGAAGAGACCTAGCATGGCCAACTCTGAGAACTGCCATCAGCAACTTCATTAAGAACGTAGAACAAGGACACTCACCAGCAGCGCACATCATCCAGAACGCAGATTTTCCTTCTCCTGAATCATTGAACACGACATCCACAGCTGTCCATAGCGATGGCGCCGGAGTCAGATGCGTAAACAAGAGTACAGCAACGAGGGCAGCAGAACTGTTGCGGATCCGGAGCGCAGCTTCATTTTTATGTGGCTTGAGACTGAGCATAGATGCCTTGAGCGGGGTAAGCGACGACATTTATCAAGTTGAATATGAGAGGGAGAAGAGGAGAATAAGGACTACTTAGTTAGTGTCTTCAACGTGTTGGTCTCATAATTGAATGGTCTGTTTTTAACGCGTGTGTCACGGTCACGTGAATATGGACCGAGCTTTTTTTGAAGTTCCACTTCAAACCAGATCATTATCTTCATTCGTCTATGGTCCCAATGCATGACTGACTAGTAGACTTGTGGATTGTGGGCGTATATTCACAGTTCGTGCAAGATGCCTGCTGCCCGAAAACATGCTTAATATTTGTGAGTAGAAATCTTTCTTGGTACCTTTGCGTTCGGAAATGCTACTTTCAGGCTGGGGTCATGATACAGGGACTTGAAGTATATTCTCATTAGCACTGAGTTAAATGTAGTACTTAGACCAGAGATGGTGGTATGACGTACTTTGCAGGCGGAGATAGCTCCAATGCGGTCCAACAACATGATGAACCTCCACCTCTGCATTCATAATACTTGACCTCAACTTGCTGAAGCAGCGAGACTATAACACGAACCTGTAAGGGATGACAACAATGATTTTTAGCATCCGCTCATCTATTCTAGCATCTACAGTTTTCCAGCTATCAAAATTGTAATGGGCACTTTTCACCGAACCGTCCAAACGTTTGGCACTCAGGCTTGCAGGACAAGCACCATGGATAGACTAGTTTCAAACATTCACAGGGAAAAGGGACACGGATGAATGTAATGGCATCCCGAACGTCTTTGTGCTGGCGCGTTAGCTGGTATGGTTCGGTATAGCGTGGTCGCGTTCGCATGGTACGAGTACTTTTGGATGGTAAAAAGGCGATTCGGAACAGAATCCACCACCCATGCATACGTGTAACGCAGCATCCCTTGTCGCACGTGCGGGAAAAACTTACATTTCAATGTCATTCATAGAAACATCAAAATGAGTGCCCAGATTCGGCCAGGGGGTACAAACACTTTGATTAGGATGCTTGCATGTGATAGGGGTAATGCAGTACCCGGTCGTAGCCGGTTCCTTCCGCCTATCACTTATGTAACAGCTCCATCAAGGGACTCCTCCAACTACGCCTTACGTCTTGTCATGGTAAGTTAGTTTCTCTCACTCAGCAGAGTTGATCACTATATCTATATCAGTCAAACCAGTCCTTCCGCACTGAGCGTGACACCTTCGGTGAGCTCCAGGTCCCAGCCGATCGCTATTGGGGAGCACAGACACAACGGTGTGCATATTTGATCTGATGTACATACTTAATCACTGAATCTTTCTCCCAGGTCGCTACAAAACTTCGATATTGGTGGTCCCTCACAACGGCTACCGCCTCCCCTAATCAAAGCCTTCGGCGTGGTGAAAAAGGCAGCATCCATCGTTAACGCCAGCTATGGCCTAGATCCTAAAATAGGCGAAGCCATCCAGAAAGCAGCTGATGATGTGAGAAATTGCGTCCTAGGCTTTGGACGTGTGTTTTGAATCGAACTTTTCTTCAGGTCATTTCCGGTAAGCTCATGGACCACTTTCCCTTGGTTGTCTTTCAGACCGGAAGTGGAACTCAAACCAACATGAACGTAAACGAGGTGAGCATATCAAACTCTCGAGTGCTCAGTAGCTTTACCTCATTGGTCAACAGGTGATTTCGAATCGCGCGATAGAACTTCTTGGCGGCGAACTCGGTTCCAAGAATCCGGTTCATCCCAATGACCATGTTAACATGAGCCAGAGTAGTAACGACACGTGAGTTTCCGCGCGGGGACTGCTTAATTTAACGAATTTACTGGTAACCGTAGCTTCCCAACAGCTATGCATGTCGCCGCTGTGACTGAAATTAGTCACTCGTTGCTTCCGGCATTGACAGGACTCAGGGATGCACTTGACGAAAAGGTTCAGTCATTCAGCCACATTATCAAAATCGGACGCACGCACTTGCAGGTATGATTCTATCAAAGGGTCAGCCTTAAATTTGAACGCCGTCTTATCGTTATCAGGACGCTACTCCCCTGACCCTTGGTCAAGAGTTCAGCGGATATGTCCAGCAAATCGATAATGGCATCGCTCGTGCTAAGGACGTCCTTCCTCGCTTACGTTTTCTGGCTCAGGGTGGAACTGCTGTTGGCACGGTGAGGTCATCTAACATCCAACGAATATAGGCGCTAAGGTGTCGTGCAGGGTCTTAACACGAAGAAGGATTTCGACGTGAAGGTTGCAGCCGAGATCTCCAACATTACGGGTTTGAAATTCCAGACTGCACCAAACAAGGCAAGACACTCACAGTTTGTGCTTCATCTGACTTCTGATCAAAACCCGCAGTTTGAAGCTCTAGCTTGCCACGACGCCCTTGCCGAGGCTCATGGTGCTCTGAATGTCATCGCTTGCTCTCTGATGAAGATCGCTAATGACATTCGATTCCTTGGCTCTGGTCCTCGCTGTGGTTTCGGCGAACTGATGCTCCCCGAGAACGAACCTGGCAGCAGTATCATGCCCGGTAAAGTCAATCCCACGCAGTGCGAGGCCGTGACTATGGTCGCTGCTCAAGTGATGGGCAACCAGACCACTGTCAGCATCGCTAGTTCCAACGGACACTTCGAGGTATCCTTACTTCATACAACGCATTGACCATTTAATGATTTGTTCTAGCTCAATGTCTTCAAACCCGTCATAATCATGAACGTGTTGCAGAGCATTCGTCTTCTTTCTGATGGTAGGAGTTCATAACTCAGACTACGCTTATTGGCCCGCTTATCTGGACTTGTCAGCTTCCCGTTCATTCACAAAGAATTGCGTGGTTGGCATCCGAGCTAACGAGAAGCGCATCAACCATCTCCTGAACGAGAGTTTGATGCTGGCAACGATCCTGAACAGCCACCTTGGCTATGATAGTACGTGCTAATTATAAGTGTGCAGATCTGCTCGAAGTCAATCATACTTTGCAGATGTAGCCAAGGCCGCAAAGAAAGCACACAGAGAAGGAACAACGCTGAAGGAGGCGACGGTTGCACTCCAATTTCTGACACCCGAGGAGTTTGATGAGAAAGTACGCCCGGAGCTGATGCTGCACCCAGATGATGAATAGTCGCCAACTGTTCATCATCACCGTTTATAGTGCTGGTCTTGTTGTTAGAGCTGTGTCAGGGATTTCAAAGGAGCCTCCCTGCTGTACGATAGAAGATCAAAGTAATGTTAATGCGTTCTAAATTATCCGTGCTACGTCGACTGCTGCGCGCGTACCGTTGTGTGGGTGCACCCGTACCAGATGTGTTTGATGACCTTCTGTTGCTTTTCCTCTATAGACCTTTTGGCGATGATCAAACTGGTAGATCATTCTTGTTCCAAGTTGGAGCTTGATCAGGACAAGAGATTCTGATCATCACGTACTAAGGTGGATACCATGTCCGAGGCGTTATCCCAGCTGAGTGGATGGAGTCTGGTATTATATCCAATTGATGCAAATCAAAACCAGGATGATATCTTGAGGAACGACTAGGAAGTCGTATACCATGACCTATCACGAGGTGTTTATGTGGTGGCAGGGTATGCGATGATTGATCTTCAGCTTGATAGTGGAGGACACTTTTTAATGACGGGGCAAACCTTCCCATTCCAGAGCGCGGGAATGCAGGTAATATGACCATCCAGAACATGAATTTTGATTGAGGACAAAGTACACAATGATGAATGCGCATACTGGTACAAATGAAAGTGTGTAACCCAAGAAAACATTATCAATCATCGTGAATAGTCTATCGTATCAGTATCGTACCAGACCAATTTCCTTTTGTATTAGCATCTCATACACGCACCTACCACAAGTTACGTCCGATCCCGCCACACACAGAGCACGGTCTCACGTCGATGATCAAGAGCGGCAGCGTCCCTGTACCACCACACTTGCGGCATATTTGACCCCCAAGGCGCGGATCGCCTGGGCGCACAGCAACGGCATGCGGGACGGGCGGGGTCTGGCCCATGCCTATTATAGGATTGTATACGTATATTACATGCGCTGGTGGGGGAACGTGCGACGACCGACCAGTGTGACTTGAGCTTGAGGACTGAGAAGATGCCTGAGATGCCTGCGGTGGGGTGAACCTCGGCAGAGCACGCTGAAACTTGGATTTGTGAGATGACGAATTGGCATTCCAGGATGTGTACATCAATGCGCCGGCATATGGTTTTCCATATTTCTCCCAGCACTTTCTACAGGGGTGGGAGGGATCGTAATTCTTGTACCCCGTATTGTTGCCTTAAGAGAGCAACATAAGTTAGCCATATGAGAGGATGTGAATACACTTACATTTGACACACGTGTAGTCCTCATGGGGGTACACGAGGATGTGTCCATTGTGTAGTAATGGGTGTCCAGGGGTGGGTGTTCTAGTGGGACTACCGTCATCCGGAACGTCCCGTGGAGGGGTTTGATGCACAGAAGGCACCCCAAGAACTGGGCCTTGACCCCCCTGATATGACGGCGTATAAGTGCTCTGGGTCATACCAGAGGAAGACATTGGGTGTGGAGCTGCATAGGCACCCGTTTGAGACTGCTGCATGGTACGCATCTGTTCCTCGCGCGTACCCGAAACAGAATCTATTGCATCAAGCATCGTACCAACGAGTGCTCCAACCAGGCCGCCCCCTCTGCGAGACTGGTACGACTGACCAGAAGGCGCCGACAAGGAGCTTGGGACTCTCCACGCTAGCTGCTGCGGACGCTGTTGGGATGGGGACAATGGCTGAGAATTTGACGATGAGGAGGTGGTATGGGATGAGTGAGAATGAGAGGAGGAATGCGAATGCGAGGGTCTGTGTGTACTATGACTAGGTCGGGGTTGTTGTTGGAAGGGTCTGCGAGGACCGACTTCTACTGTGGACTCTCCATGGTAAGTGTCCTGCAGATGGAGTGTACGCTGGAGGCATTTCCTCGTCAAGTCCTGATGGATCTGTCGTGTGTGGTGCTGCAGACCCATACTGAAAAGCGCTCGAAGACTCAACTGCTAGTTGACTGGAATGTGCTGGGGGGTGTTGGTTTGTTGGCGACATAATATTGTTTCTGAAAATCAAAAGTGTGAACGTAGAAGGAGGAAGTTATATATAATCGTATGGCCGTCCCAAAATCTTGCGCAAGAATGGGAGGCACAGCCAACTGCGGACGGTCTTGTCATAATTAGTTTCCGAGAACTATAGTACAAATACACAGCCACTCACGGCCAAGTTGATAAGATAAGCCTCACGACCGCGGTTCAGGACTTCCAGAAGAACACTGACCACCAACATTATCAAGGAAATTTTCGTAAAGATCATCATCTATCCTACGTATACTCTCGCGTATCTCCGACGTCCTTTCCGGATACTGATAACCAGCTCATGATCACGAGTCGAGGCCTAGGGCGTACGTAGTTGGTGCCGTTGTAGATGAGTCACGCGGTTGAGGGACTAGCGAACAAGATATTATAGAGCACCCTTACTGCTTTAATAGGCAGGATTAGAAGACAGTTCGACGTATACTGATATCGATACTATCCAGCCCTGCACAAGTTCCGTATCAACAAGTAAAGTACTCACAATAAGAGCCATAGTATAAGATCTTTAAATAGAGTTGTGAGACACTCGCGCCTCTTGCATTACGATTCCGGGCCATGTGTAAGAGACCGAATCCAAAGATCTAAAAACTTAACTTAACAGAATCGCATAGGTCCTTGTTCAAATAAACAATTATAGGTTCCCCGTCTTTACCTGTAATATCAATATCTATCTCTCCCTAAAATAAAAAGCAAGACACTCACCACTCGAACCACCATTCGCGCCGATGGCCAGGTCCATCAAAATCCCATCAGACAAATTCACCATCAAAAAAGCGCAACGAGTGATACGATCACACTATTTGAGTGTCGATACATTGCAGGTAGTAAACGCAACAACGTAATTGCTATGCAAGTGATCGTCAACTTGTCTGGATTCGGAGCACAAGCCAACGGGAAACACTCACCGTCCACAGCAATGGAACTTCAGCCCGTATTTGGGCATCGTATTTCATAATACCTACCACATTCCTTTACATCTATGCGTGAGGATCATCAGCATCCAACAGAGTATAGCGTGTTGCGCAGATGAACCCCTGAATGTAGGCACCTGGGAGATTTAAGAGAGGAGACGAAGTGACTGTACGTTGTCCGTCTTATACGCTGACCGCAGGCTCCTTGGGACAATAGTTGAGAATACGGGATCAAAAATTGACACCGACTACCTACAGACTAACAAATTATCAGTAGTTCAATGTGGGCACCTATTGAAACGCACTGGAACTTTTAGCGAAGTTACATGCGTGAGAAGTAGCACAATTGCGAGTATGTGAGCAAGCCCCACAAATATATGACACTGTCATTATGATTATAGACTCGGGTTTAAGCTGAGGAAATAGATTGGATTGTCCAGTATACCCGAAGGGCCTAAAATACTCACCCAGATAAATTCAACCTGGTTACTTGCTTGTCAGCAACGCAAAAGAATGAATTATAGCCTGATTGTTGCACCTTTGTTCCTGAAGTCAGTACTGAAGGACATGTGAGACTTTGTGGACTTCAGGATGAATAGGAGTTTACCGGACTTGCACAAGATCGTTATCGCAGAAGAAACTGTCGAGCCTCAGTCATGTCACCTGGGAGATTATGAACGAAGTTATGACATACAAGAAAAGGTATATGGTATGCGGCATATGACTGACTAGAAAATCGGAGAGCCAAGGTGCCACATATGCCCATTGAATTTGATGTACCCGAGACTTCGAATGTCCCATGCAAAGGCGTGGGTAGTGTGAGTTTAGCCAAAGAGAGGATTCGCCAACGCGGGAGAATCCGGTGAAATGAGACCTAAACCGTGCCTAGTACTAGTAGTGGAATGATACGAGATGGGCTAAGCCGAGCGTGGATACGTGTGAACCTAAAGCCTGAGTAAAATGGCGGGGCGCCAGGAGTTGGGAAAAGAACAGAGAGTCAGTAGCGAAAATACAATGCTACCATGCCTCTACACTAGTGTACGGTCAAATAGAGGGGTGTAAATTTACAGGCGTAAATTTACACCTGTCAATTAGCGTTAATCAGCATGTGAATCTCGAAGGGCATTTTGGGGGTGTAAATTTGGGTGAATTTGGAGTTTGCCAATCGGGCGTCTCCGTGGTGGTGAATCTGTGAATCTTGCAAAATATCTACACTGGCTAGGCCATTAAATGGAAAACATTCGCAACCATGAATTGTGAAACGAGAAATAAGCTACAGTTACTATCTCTTTATCTTCAAAATCTCCCCGAAACCATTCCTTATGCAGACCCTTCGATCCCACAGTATGGCTTCGATTTCTTCACCTTGGATGATGAAAAGATCCAGGATTATGGTCCCATCGGCGCAGTGAACCATGAACTCGAAGTGCGCATGGGTCAGCGTAACAAAGGTCCCATTTCTTTTAAGGAGCGCGGACCTAGCCTCAATGCCGTGACCAATGTGCTTGGTGGCTACTTGGATCAGTATCACGAGTCTCCCGAGACAGTACTTCTTGTCAAATGGGTGGATGACCTTACAATAGCAGCAGCTGCTGCATTCAAATCTGCCAGCATTCCAGTAAGCTCGTTTTTACTGTATTTAGGGGTGACAAATAACTTGCCAACAATTCAGTTACCATTCGAGTCTCGCACGATGGCAGCAAAACCTAAGGAGTCAGTGGTTCATCAGCCGATTCAGCCCCTCTCAAACTCCATTGACCAACGGTACATTGACTTACCCGAAGTTGCTGATCTTCGGACAAGTGGTGCCAAGATACACCCTCTCCTTCTTGAGGGAACAAGGCGCTGTTATAAGGTCCGAGAAGGCGAAGTTTGGAAGGAGGGTGTCTTGACTGCTCCTGCAAAGGTGCAACTTCGAGTCCGGTGCATTGGCAGTAAAAAATGTGGGACAACATGGAATGCCCCTCGTTCTCGTGACCGAATCATGGGACACCTTGCAAAGTGTAGTCACATTGATGAGAAGTTTCACGATCGTGCAACTGAGTTCTTGGCGGGTGTTGCCAAAGGCCCTAAATTGTCCATTC